TAAATATATCTCCAACCCTGAAAACCTGAAGCTCATGATGGAACTGCTAAGGGAGAAAAGCCGAAGTATTCAGTTCGAGGCGTTCCATGTTTTCAAGGTTACATTTCTCTGTATGAAAACGCTAGTTTGCGTGTTCTTAAGGTTTTTGTTGCGAACCCCAACAAGCCCAGACCTATTGCGGATATTTTATTACGAAACAGAGAGAAACTGGTAAGTGGAAGAAGTTGGTATGCTTATTGAGGGTTCATGGGTTTTCAGGTAGATTTCCTGCAGCAGTTCCACAAAGATCGAACGGATGACGAACAGTTTAATGATGAAAAGGCATATCTCATTAAGCAAATTCAAGAGATGAAATAACTCCTTAAAAAGAAAACAAATACTTAAACCACTAGTACCCTTTAATGAATTCTTCTGTCACGATTGTGAATTGTAAACTTGTAATTATAACTGTGTCATTTTACTTTTAATTGTGTTCTCCATATTTTCGAGTAGAAATAACTTTATTCCACCGTGGATGACTTTATTATTTTACGAAATTTTGCATTGTAACAATTAGTACTCAGTCAAGTGGCAGCCAAATTTAGAAATATGTAAATTTATGGGATTGTTAATTCTAAGTAGTTTTTGATATTCGGTGTCGCTCACGTCTTTTGTTCTTGTTTCCTTTTTAAATTTTTGTTGTTTTCTATGGATTTCAATAAATCCTTAGTACATACTGTCAAACAGGTTGTTGAGGGTGCTGACTAACTATGAGCCATCTCATTTTCAAGGTTCACCATTGAATTAGCGTATTACTCCGTAGTGATACTGACACAAACTATATATTAGACTTACAAAAGAATTATGCGCATATAAATTGGTTTCTATTGGAAATCCTTGCAACCCGCTTTAACCTCAGTCGGCATGCACTCATTCACCATACATGGCAATTCGAATTCGTAATCGGTTGTCGTTCAGTCAACTTGATTTATACAAGTTCGAAAACTTGAACACTCTGCCTATTGTCACTTCTTAACGCCTTGAATAGAAAAATATCGTTTTAAGATAAGCACTTAGCAACAATATGAGTGACCGGCTATTCCATCCTCTTCTCCGCCTTATTTTTCTAAATATAGAATACATACAACCCGAGCGAAGCTAACTTCATTCGACGATAGTTAACGACAAAAACAGACATGATTTAAGCAAAAATTGAGAACGAAAACTTAATGAGCACATAAATAAATTACCACGAGGTGGAATGGAAACATGACAAGAACTGTTCTTAACCCTTAATTATTGAAATCAGCTGCAGCTCCGAATCCTCCCGAAATAGACATAGGAACTTTACCCAACAACTCCAACTGTGCATCTACCATCTAGAAGAAAAGCTCATGGAAATGAGCAAAAAACTTGGCTTACCTGTAAGAGCTCTGGTGGTGATGGAACTCGTCCGCTTTCAATCTTGCTCCAAATTTGCTCATCACCCAAATACACTTCGAAAGCTCCTGTTGACATGAGTGAGCTTTCAATCATATTTGAAAGAAGGAAGATCATCATACATGCTGACAACTGAGAATCCAATTATATGAAAACTTAATATTTAGAAAGTCAAACCTTATTCTGTTGAGCCCATGCCAAAGGAACAAGATCTCGGAGGAAGGGAAGAGGATTACTAGCTCCGGTGACAATACTAAAGAGAAGAACCATCTTGAGGATATTGATGGCCTGAATCGAAAAATAAGAAACTTCTGGAAAATATGACGTACTTGAGCCAAATAAGCCTTCCAAGGTGCTGGAGGATAGTTAGAACCTTCGATATTCATTTCTGGATATTTCTCGCGAACAAATTGAGAATATTGTTCATAAGCGTTCTTGTATCCGCACGAAACACTGGGAGAGAAACCATGAAAAAACGCTCTCAAGCATCTGCTTACCAGAAAATGAAGCGCATCGTCGGCAAATCTTTAGCCATAATAGGTTTGGGTTTCGTGAAACCTTCTTGCTCTCTTAACACTATTGGTTCTCCATCCTTATCATATTTGACTCTACTGCAGAACAAACCCTTTTTTTCATATAGTTAGTTTTGTTTTACCTGAATCCTTCAACTTCCTCCTGCTCATCTCCAAACTCTGCTTTAAATTCATCATGATCATCTTCATTATGTTCTTTCTCTGTAATTTATCTTTGATACTGAGAAAGAAATTCATTGTAACAAGAAGTTTCTTTATGAAATTGCAGTTCTCTTACCTGAGGCAACAATACCATGAACGGATAAGAGTACTAAGAGTGATAGTAGGATAAAATTAAGTTTTCCCTTCATGTTGTGAAAGCTCAATAACCTGAAACTCAATAAATGTAAAAAAAACACAAAACAAATGTAGAAGATATAATATCGAGAACAAGCTTATCCTTTCTCAAGAATTTTCGATGATTTTTAAGTGGTGGCATAATAAATGCAACGACTACTCCAATTTACAGAGCATTTGCATGATGTTTACAAACTGTTACACCGTCTGCGTCTCTTTTACTTAGGAGAAGGAGTGACGTCAGCGCGAGTGGATTCCGGCGATTGTGATATTCGGAGACGGTAGTACCGTCTTTTTCGGATGAAGTTTATTTTCTAAAGTATTTTTATTTATTACTATAATTTAATTAAAATTTTAATTAGATTATTGTTAGAAGAACGCCTAGTCATCCCCAATTCAAACACTGTCAATATGTGAGTCATTGGTTTATGTTTGATGGGGGGAAAGTTCTGAATTTTTTTGTACTTTTGATGCCTTTTATATGTTCCATTGTATCAGACGCTTATGCTGTCTGTCTAAGGATGGAGCATCAGTTGCTTTACATTGTTTGTTTGACATCTACCCAATAGATATCTTCTTCGATATTTCGTTGCTCCATGCCATAATGCTCGTGTGAATGATCAACTTTCATATTTCAGATGTCCTCACCGTCTCGGCAAATCAAGTGCGTCGTAGTTGGCGATGGTACAGTGGGTAAGACCTGCATGCTCATCTCCTACACAACAGATTCTTTTCCTGTACAATATGTGCCAACTGTGTAAGTAAATATTTCTTTTTTGCTTGAATTTTTAATTAAATATTTGTGTTTGCAGGTTCGACAACTATTCCGCCCAAATGACGGTTGACACACAAACTGTAAACCTCGGACTATGGGATACAGCAGGACAGGTAATAATTTCATAAACTTCTTCTTAATTTATACTGACGGTTTAACGCTTGACTAGACGTAATCGCTTTGCGCACCGAGTAATTATCTCCGTTCGAGGGATTATTTAAATGAATTATAAATGACAATTCTTTGCAGGAAGACTATGATCGTCTTCGACCATTGAGTTATCCGCAAACAGATGTGTTTGTTCTCTGTTTTTCTGTGGTTTCACCAGTTTCTTTCGATAATGTTGCTACTAAATGGATTCCTGAGATCAGACAACATTGCCCTGATGCTCCCATTATCTTAGTCGGTGAGAGAAACTCTTTTAAAACAAACTATTGCTTATATCATTTATCTCTCAGGAACGAAGCTTGATTTGAGAGATGAAGCTGCTGCTAAAGTTGCTTCGGGTGAGGATAGGCCACCAGTAACCAAAGGACAAGGTCAAAAGTGTGCTCAGAGGATTAAAGCTGTAAAATACTTGGAATGCTCAGCATTAACCCAACAAGGATTGAAACAAGTACGGATCAGCGCCTTTTCTCTCAACTAAAGTTTGTTCAGGTTTTTGAGGAAGCAGTACGTGCTGTGATACATCCAAAACCACTCAAGAAGAAGAAGAGATGCACTATCCTGTAAAGAAGAGAAAAAGCCATAATCATCATCCACACAACGTTAAGCTAAATAGTATGTCCTTCTATATTTGCCTTATTTAGCAATAATTGCCTTACATATGTTATGCTCCAAGCGAGTTTTGATTAATAATGTTCACTTCAAGGTAAATCGGTCATTTTTTGAAGTTTATATCAAATTTTTTAAAATCTTATTTTGCTTTCCTACAACCTCTTTACCTTCCACTTCTTGATACTGATTTTTCCTTTTGTTTCGTGCCATTTGCTCCAAAGATTCTGATCAGAATCTCCTTATTTGCTTGTCGTTTCCGGGAGAAACGTGTTTCTCCCGTTCCTGACCAGTTTCAATCATGTTTTATTATATCAAAGTGAAGTAAAATACTTTGCAATTTGTATAATGCGCAATCTAGGTATATATTGTCTATATTTGAACATTCATATGTGTAACTCTACCTGAGACGGCTGATTTTTAACATAAATCTTATATTTCTGACTCATCTCACTTGTTACTTTCACTTTCAAAATTTAAAATGACTCATTGAAGACTAAAAACTGCGTATACTTCGTGACATATGTTTGTACGGTCAGCAGATGTCTCGTTCAATTTGTTTCAGTCTATGACTGTTGTATATATGAACGAGGGTAAAAACATACAAACATTCTCGAGTCGATCACACTGATATACTGTTTTCAGAATAATCTCCCTCTTTTTTTTACCCCTTCGTCTCTCCATCTCTATCTCTTTCTTCTTCATTGTTTTCGATGAATATATGAAATATGATAGAATGACACTCAACAGTTCAAAGCTACAGATGGACATTTCGCCAGGGTCACGGATTTAAGAAGGAATCTGATTTTCATCTGTCATTTGTCATTTTTTGTTGTATTCGTGAAACGAGGATGAGCCATTAGAGGAGATTAGTAGTGAACGAGAGAAAAAGCGTTTGTTTCAAAGAGGATTTTAACCTCGCCAATCACATGAATCTTATTGAACGGCATTGAGTTTCTAATTGGATTATTTGTTAGTTGGTTTGGTAAAAGTCACAAAGTATTGATTGATCGTAGCGAACTAAAGGATATAAATACAAATTAGAATATGCGGTTCACGTCAAAGTTCGTGTGGTGTTCTTCGCTTGTATATCGATCATTTCTAGTGCGACGTAGATCACGTTCGGTTGTTTTTTCTACAGTCTCTGAGAAATCAATCATATAAGGTTATAAAACATGTGAGGTTGCATCATAAAAACAAAAACAAGTAGAGGTGAAACAAGTATAACGATTTTTATAAAGAAAATGATTTCATTACGGAAAAAAATTTGAAAATATGAACTAGATTAATACGGGATTTTTTTAGATCAAAAAAAGTTCTTCATCTGACCTGTAATATTTCCTCTTCGTGTAGGTATTATGAGGAATTATCAATTGAATTGTTACAAAAAGCTTCAAAATAAACGTTCTACTTGTTATCTAATTATATACTAGTTTTATGGACAATTTTAGTAAATTTTCGAGGTCGTCAGCAGGTTTCAGCTAAGTTTTCAATTGTTCTCCGGATAATGTTCGAAGTTCATTCAGTGAATTATTCGATATTTTTCACTTTATTTTCTTAGTTTTTTAAACTTAAAATTGATGAAAAATTCAAAATTCATTGCCATACCAGAGAAGATCCTTGGATGAAGTCAAAATCAGATGACATGAAGTTGAAAGTTTGAAACATCTGCTAAGTGACAGCCAAACGTTTTTGGGATCTTCATTTTCAATTCAGAAACAGAAAGAAAGAAAAAAATAGAACAGAAGATGTTTTTTCTTTATTCGAAGTTTATTATAAAAGCTTTATGTATGAGATTCTCATGTTATTCATTGAACTTATCGAGCAAACTTTACCTCAACTTTCTTCGAAAGAACGCATTTTGAGTCATTCTTCATCCTATTATGTTCGATTAAAGAAAAAAGTTGTTATTTATCGGATATTATGAAAAACATGTGATTAAACTACATTTTGAACGATGCAAATCTTTGAATCATGGCTATCAGCCACAACCTCCCTCTTTCTTATCTCATAAATTGTTATCAATTTTTTGAGAAACCTTTTTTTATCTTGTCATCCACATGTAGCAATTGTCTCATCTGGATAAATGACCGTTTGAACAAAACTTTTTTTTCCTAATACGGTATTCGTTTCTTATGTTCTCTTTGTTTTTTTTTCTTAATAGGAACCGTTGTGAAGAATGCGATCCATCTCTTTCTCTCATTGATATTTGGCATATCCGTCATGTTGTTTTTTCTCTTTTCTTCCTATAACTTCTTATATCTATTGCCTTTATAGCATATTACTCGTAATCAAACCAATCAATTACTATAAATGAACCAGGTAACACTTTTATGAGTTCAATCATATTGCTTATATCCATATGTTTAGAATGAATATGATCACAAATATGGATTCAATCCTAAACCTAAAGCAACCATCAGAAGCATAATCAGAAAACGCCGCACCAAATTCGCAGATGATTTCTTCACAGCTGAAGGTACTATTGATATGAATGCGTTTTGCTAAATAACTTTTAGGATGGAATAGAATCATCCAAAGAAGAATACCAGTATCTAGATGGCTGCCACGATATAACTTCCGCTCTTTCGTAGTTCCTGATTTTCTGGCTGGAGCTACGGTTGGGATTTACAATATTCCTCAAGGTAAATTTTTCGTCAAAAGTTATAAAAGATTTTGCCGCCAGCAGGGGTCGAACCTGCGACCTTGGGCTTATTAGACCCACGCTCTAACCAACTGAGCTATGGCGGCACGAAAGTTTACAATTTTTTAAACATTATATCACTCTATACTATTATCAGTAATTTCACCATTTAAGGTCTTGCCTATTCTGTTTTGGCCAGTCTACCACCCGTATATGGTCTGTACGCTTCCTTTTTCCCGCCCATTTTTTACTTCCTGTTCGGCTCGTCATTACACAGTAGCATAGGTGAGGGAAAAAGGGAATTTTTTGAAAGGCATGAACGATAAGGAGAGTAGTTTACGATTGCTTTCTCGAAGTGAATTATCTGATTAAAGAACTTAGAAACTTTCTGATGCAATAAGAGCAGTTTTAGAGTCGGACAGTGTGTTATCTTTTCACCGTCTTGACTGAATTCTTGCAGGTGTCTTCTCATTAACATGTCTCATGGTAGGACATACGCGAACAAGCATTCTACCAGATTATGCCAATGGAACTACTGCAACAGAGTTCAGAGGTTTGGTAAAAGAGTTGAGATTTTTCGAAGAAAATTTTCTCAGGAATCGAGAATCTCACCCCTACTGATGTAGTCGTTGCTCTGGCCTTCGTTACTGGTGCGATACAAGTACGTGTGAATCTCAAGATGTATATTGTAAAGTTCACTGTTATAGCTTATCATGGCTGTCTTACATTTGGATTTTTTGACCAGTTACCTCAGCGATCCAGCGGTATCTGGATTGAATTTTGGGGCAGCTTGCCATGCATTCATTAGTCAACTGCCAGCCATTCTTGGAATTAAAATTCATTCATCCAAAGAGTTCTTCTTCAAATTAATATATGTGGGTGTTAATCTTCTTCATCGTTTATTAAACATCTTTTTTCTTCAGAATTTTGAAGAAATAATTGAGAACTTGGGAAATATAAATGTCGCAACAACAATCATCTCTCTACTCACAATTGCACTTTTGATACTTTCCAAATCATACATAGAGCCGAATACAAGGCGGTTAGGGTTTCCATTCCCAACAGAATTGGTTATAGTAAGGCTTAAGAAGTTGATGCTTCCCTAAGAACTACCTTTCAGATGATTTTCGCTACAGTTGTATCAACATTAACAAACTTAAGCGAACATTGGCATGTTAAGATCATCAGCTCTATACCTCTAGGGTAAGTCTTTTGTAACTTCAGCTATGTTTGATCCAATGACATTAGAATGCCACAGCCAGTTCTTCCAAAGTTTGTCTTAATGCCATATCTCATTCGTGATGGGCTAAGTATTGCCATCGTCGCATATGCTGTGACTGTTTCTATGGGAAAGCTAATGGGGAGAAAACATCGTTATACGATTGATACAAACCAGGTACTTCAAACGAACTTTTTTCTGAGCAAAAAATGGTTTAGGAGCTACTTGCATTGGGTACATCTGGAATTCTATCATCTTTCTTCTCTGTTTTTCCAACATCAACTTCATTATCGCGAACTTTAGTTAATGAGGAGAGTGGAGCAAAAACCCAGGTACCACCAGTCTCATAGTTATATGTACATCTTGATCTCTCTAAGGTGTCTGGATTAGTCTCAGCTATCATTATTCTGAGTGTTATATTATTCCTTGGCCCCTTACTAGAAGCTCTACCAATGTGCATTCTGAGTTGTATTGTGGTTGTAGCATTAAGATCTTTGTTTCAAAAAATTGGAGAAGTACCAAAAATTTGGAAGTTTTCTAAATTGGATACGGTTATATGGATAACAACTGCTATAGCTACGATATGTATGGATATCATTGAAGGCTTAGTCATGGGAATGATAGTTGCTCTATTCCTGGTCATTATTCGCACACAATGGTACTTTTCATCTCAACATTTCCAATCTTCATGCTTCATTCATAGGCCTGATCTTGACACATTGGGAGAAATTAGTTCACGCGATTATCGAGTACTGGATCGGTATTCAGCTGCCAAGCCTCCAAACGCGACAATTCTTCGTTTTGATGCTCCACTCATATTTACTAACGTAGAGACTTTCAAAAGTAAAATTCGTCAAGCAGTTCACGCAAACTTGCCCGGTAAGTATAGACACAACCAGTTCTCAACGTCTCACATGATGAAATAAGGAAAAGTGTGTAAGCTGAAAGTGATAGCTTTATTTACGTGTTGAGTCGTTGTGCGCAGAAATTCTTTATGACTGACATTTCAATCATGGATTCCTATAAAAAATGTATTTCAGGATGCAATTTGCCTGAGAAACAATATATCAGTCGAGTGATTGTCTTGGACTGCAGTTGCTGGGCATATACCGATGCCATGGGTGTTGAAGCAATAAAAGAGGTGCAACATGTTAATATTTGGAACAAAGACTAATTATAACAATTATATAGATTCACGAAGAGATGCTCATAAATAATATTCTTCTGATGTTTGCCGACTTAAAAAGTCATGTACGAATTCAGTATTTGAAAGCTGGTTTGTTCACTACTATGAATGAGGATCAGGTAAGATGATAACATCCCATATACATATAAATATGAATCAATTATAGTTTTATCCATCTGTACATGAAGCTCTACAAGCAGCCTCTATGCTGTATCTAACTGAACCAAACGAGTACCGTAAAGATTCAACACTTTCGGCTGTTGTCTAGAATGTACAAAATGTTGTAAATTTTATGTAAATACTTTCCACCAATTTTTTTGTATATATCGTTATTTTGTGCCCGAAATTTCCATATCCCCGGGTGTTTTTCATCAATGGAAATAAACAACTTTTTGTTGAAAAAAAAATAATTTAATAGAAATCTTTATTGCTTGACAAGGAAATAAAAAAAAATAAAAAAAAACGACAAATGTAACTAACAATCAGGTGTCATCACCCATCATATTCCTATTCGATTATAATAGGATTATATATGAATATTCAGATGCCTTCAAAGTGACATCAGGCATTATTATTATTATTGAATAAATACATTTGACAAGTGAGATTTGTAGGCAGTTGTAACCTTGTACATCATTTTTTTTTATAACAAAAACTTTCTTTTTTATTTTCATTTTCATATACCATAGATGGCAGCAATGTGTTTACCGGCAAGAACGGGAGGAGGGGGAGAAGGGGTCATACTCATATTTATCGATAACTGTTTGTTGTCGATGTTGATGAAGAGGTTGATGAGGATGAAGATGAATTGGTTCCAAATAAACTAAACTTTGAAAGAGATTTTGGAAGAGCAGGCAATGATGTGGAAAGAAGTGAAAGAGATGCCACAAAGCTTCTTGACGGACTCGTCGGAGTTGTCAATGGCGTTGGAGCTGATACTTTGGCTGAAGGAGCCCTATTCTTTCTGAAAATAAGTATTGAGAGTATAAAAATAGGTAGTCTAAGTATATACATTTCGCTCGTTGAAGAGCCAGGGAATGTTGGTCCTACTGAGGAAACACTTCGAGGTGCTGGTGGTAAATCCCCGGTTTGCATACGAAGTAATTGACGGAAATCTAAAGCTGATGCTTGAGCTTCGTGCTCAGTGAAGTCTTCAATGTCCACCAGAAGAGAATCATGCTCCATATGTAAACCATCGCGATCAATCAGCAAATTGACCAACTCTACGTTTTTCTCTGAAATAGTTTGTATGAAGCGTGGAAAGAATCAAATTCAAATCTTACGTGCTATAGCAGAAGACATTATATCGTGTATTCTTTGGATTTGTTGCCATGACATCTTGCTCAAATGCTGTCTAGACTGTCGTGGTACCACACATGCTTTAGATTTGGTTCTACAATTATCAGGCCATTGAGATCATTTAAAAGCTTTTTTTACCTTCTAAAATGTTCAGCTGATCGAATAGCTTCCAGTTTTGCGCTATCTAAAACCCTGCGGGTTTCTGACACCAATAGCTTTTGACGTTCATCTGAAACATCTCAAAAACAATTAAACTGGAATCAAAAATCATTCTGAACATCTTCCCTTCAAGGAGCTCATTTTCTTTCCAAAAATATGTCAAGTAGCTGACCCTTTAAAAACGGGATTAAAAGCAAATCATGGAGGTTAAGCGATTGCCGTTCAAAAATGCCCAAAAGCTTCATCAAATGTCACAAATCACTGACATTTGAAGAAAAGTCCCAAATGAGTTGGATTAAACAGGAAAAAAATGGGGGCCATTTTCATCTGTCGCTCATCACAAACATTCCAAACGATAATTGCCGTCCGTCTTGCTCTGTCACTTCAGAGCCTCTTGACTCTTTGAAAACAATTTTGGAAACTCCTTCTCTTCCTAAGATTCCAAAAATTTCGAGAACTTTTCTTTTTTTTTCATCCGAACTAGATCGTTAGAGAGGAAAATTAATTTTTCATCTGCAAGTGAACAACCATTGAACGCAGAGTCAGGAAAAAAAAGGAATTTAGCTTCCTCGTTTGGGTCAAAACTTGGCGTTTGAATTTTTTTTTAATTTGAATATGGAAAACTCACATCCATCCAATTCTCTGTCGTCTAATGCTTTTTGGCGAAGTCTCTCTAGCTCTGGAGCTTCTTTTGATGATCCTGGTCTACTTGATTCTGCAACGACTCGGTAAAAAAAACATTAACAGTGATCCCTACTTCTCAAATTAGGTGAAGAACGTGACTTTGACATGAAGGAGCTGAATGCTGAGACATTATCGTCTTCTTCTTCGTTTTCACTATCAGTTGTTTCATCATCATCATCGTCGTCTTCTTCTGCTGTACTTTCAGCTAGTTCGTTCATATAGCAGACCTTCAAAAGAACAGAAGTATTCGAATAATACAAGGCTGGAGATGCCTGAAGATTCATGGCTGTTTGTAGTCGCATGGCTAGATTTGATCGGTTGGGACGAGTGTTGACAACTGGACAAGGACCAGTAGTGGAATCGACCTGGAGAGCAAGACGACGGCGAACCTTAAGAGCAAAATATTGAGAATAAGGAAATAAAAGATACTATAGTGCCCCGAGGGCATAATATGCGCGATAATTGAAATTAGTAAAACTCGCGAAACTCTGTAGAGCATGGTTGTTTTGAGTTTCAATCAAAACAAAATACGATATGATGCCGTCATCATACTTAATCAAAATCTTTTCTTTTTTCTATGAAAAGGTTCAGACATGAGAAAAAAAAGTGGCTTTGTGTTCGTGGAAGCTGGCCTTATATGGGATGAAGCTGAAGACGACAGAGGATGTCGTTAGACCTCATCATCCTGCACGTCCTTTTATGGTCTTTTCATTCATTTTTCTTTCTTTCCACACAAATTTCTCAGCATATCTGAGGATTTCGAGTCAGAACATAGCATGACAGACGACAATTCGTCGAGCAAGAGGTAAAATTATCACAAAGAAAGAAGACAAAATTAAATAATCGACGACAGAAAGTTTCTCTAATTTCAGCCCAAAATTCAATTTTAAAGTTATTTTATCAAATTTTCATTCGTCGTTGACGATGTAATTTGGAAGAAAAACAATACAAACTAAGCTTCTTCTCCCATCTATCAAAACAAAAAAAAGTTGACAAAAGGAGGAACAAACTGATAGTTGTGCTGCTTCAGGAAGAAGAACAACAAAAAAAAAGAATAATGTCCCGTAAAAGGCTGGATATGGCATCCCAAGAGATCGCTTACCCTCATACCGCCTCACTTCTTCCTCCTTCTTTCAACACACATGGAATTTCACTCTGTTTCCCTTTCTCTCTCTCTCTCTCTCTATTTCACTCTCTCTCTTTTGTCAAAGTTTTTCCATGGAAGGAAAAATTTACAAAATAAAAAAGATTTTTTCAGAAAATTTCGTTTCAACCAACACAACTCAACTCATCTTCACTTACTTCAGATGGCGAAGTTTGTCTCAAAATCATTATAAATTCAATGAGTCATCCAACCTCCTGAGAATCGAAAGACTCGTATTATCAAAAGAATTTTTGAATACAAATTTCATTCTCAAAATGGATAATTATGATATTCATAAGATTTTCAAGCTACAATACTTCTAGAAAGAAGAAAAAGACTAAAGCTATCTTTATCCTTTGAACCATCTATTTCATCTAGTCTCATCATCTGATAAGGTATCTTCATTGAACATTTATATTATTTTTAATCGGCGACAGGGTCCCCAAACAGGCTATTCGATAAAGCTTTAGACTCAAGTTGTACGAACAGAGTCGTTTACTCTTGGGTAAACGAACGAAAGTTGCAAGAAGGTTGTTGATCTTCTTCTTCTTCCTTGTGTCCGGCGATGACACAAAACTTTCCTGCCGACGACGACTCAAGACGGCTTTTCCTCTTCGCTCCCTTCGTACACTGTCTTATGTCGTCTCAATCTCTTCTCTTACAGTACTATATGTATCACGTAAAGGTTAGCGGATGATGTCGAGCTGTTGCATCAGTTATAACCATAAGTGCTTATGTAAATACAAGGGAATTTGTGTCGAGAAAATGATGAAAATGCTTTCAGACAAGAACATCCATCTTCTAATAGGAATTAGAGAAAGTTTTAATTTTAAAATCCCTCTCTTTCCTTTCTGCAGATGCCTGTGAATGCAGAAAAGAAAACAACAAAAAGGAAGAAAACTTTTATAAATCTTTGCTCCAACGAACACCACCAATCTCAGTCAAATCTAAACCCCTAGAGGCTATTGTGTCAGCTGAGCTCAGCAAAAGTTACTCCACAGGATGAAACATGCACACGCACACACACACACACACTAACTACCATACAATCTTGAAGAATGAGAAATATGAAGATTCTTCTTCTCACGTCTACATTTCGTTTTGCTTCATTTTCGAAAACTTTGCATGAACAAACTTAAAGTCTAATTGAAATGGTCACACACTTTCAGAGAGCAGTTTCTCATTAAAAATATTGAAAAAAAAAGAGCTGAAAATTGAAAATTCATTTGATAACCAATTTGTAAGCTAACATTAAGCTCACATTTGACGAAACTAAGAGTAATAATTCATTTTTATGGAACGTTCATGTTTTTCGCGATCCTTTCAATCATTCTCCTTCTTGTTATCCTACTCTCTTCTCTTTCCCTTTCACTTATTCCCTCCTTTTCTCTTTCTCATTCTTTTTCAGATCTCATCATTGACCAACAAATGATATGAAGCTTATTAAAGCTTCCTTTACCCATCACATTTCTTTCATAAAAAAAAAGTTCAAATTATTTTTTTTTTCGTTTTGTCGAAAGCCGTAACGACATAAGAGGCTTCCTCTCAACAGAATTATAAAATAGAATCAGAGATTTTGAGATATTTTCGTAAGTTGTGTGAAAAAAACAACAAACCTCTTCTCCTAGAAGTTTACGTTCGTGATCTTCTCGTTCACGAGCTGCTTGCTTCAATTGCTCTTCAAGCTTATCGAAATCCAACTCAGGCAATCCTTAAAAATGGAATGAGAATATCGAGGGAAAATATACTTTAAGAGCAAAAAAAGGAAAAAGCCTATTGAGTAGAGGGAAGAAGATGATGACTTAATGGGCTCAAGTTCTATGTTTTTACCACCTTTGTCTCTCTCTTCTACTCTCTCTCTCTCTATTCTCCATCCTTCATTCTTCATGTCTCTTTTCCTTGCTCAATCTCTCTCTCTCTCTTCGATCTCATTTACTCTTTGTTTAAAAAATGATAATCCTTACCTGTATCTAAATTACTCAATTCGCGACTAATACTTTCTCGAACTGAGGCACGAGAGACTGATTGACAAGTATTTGTCATCGATACATCATGGATCCCTGATGATGTCGTTGACATCATTAACTCAGGATGAATACGTCGAAGGCAATCGCCGAGAAGTTCATCTTCATCTTCATCATCATCAGCCAATCCTTTGTGTAAACGTGTCTGATTCCATTTGGTTTTAACATCATTACGGCCTGAAATTATCAAAACAAAAAATAAGCCTGATAATCTAAGTATTACAAAAAGAAAAAAAAACAAAGATAAAGAGCTAACCTCCTCGTAAAGGACTTGTTTCTGGTGTCTCACGATTGCTGCAGGTGGAGGACATCTCAAAAGAATCTTCTGAACAAGAAGTTGATCCTGAGCCAAGCTCATCACCATCCTCATCATCAGCATTGGCATTATGCTCCAATGAATCTGTAAAACCAAAGAAAATAAGATTAGAATAGGGATAGAGAACGAGAGAACCTTGTTGATTGTCGAGCGATGTTAGTGACTCTAAGCTTGAACTGTTTGAAATCTGTTGCGTTTCATCCTCAGTGGATTTGAGTTTCAGCAGTTTCACAACATCAATTCCATTATTATTATTATTTTGTGAATGTTCATCATAAAAATAATTATTGTTGTTGTTTATATTATTATTATGATGTTCAGCTAATAAGAGAGATGATAGTGTAGATGATGTCTTAGAGTAAGCTGAATCAATTGTTGAAATGCCGCTATCAGATCTGAAATGTATGAATCTGCTTTCATGACAACATATCCCTAACTATACCTGCTTGTATCAAATTGTTTATTTAAATTTAATAATAAATCATCTTCAGAAATGTCTGATCGTCTTGAATGTTCTATAGATTCTATGGAGTTACAATAATTATTTGAACATTCTGACGATACAACTGCATTTGACATTTCGGAGACAAAAAAAAGAGGGAAAGAGAGAGAGAGAGAGTTATAGCAACCCTGACTCAGACTAGTGCCAGCTCTTCTTTTCTGAAAATATAATTCAATTAGAAAATTTGAACAAAAATCTGTAAATATTAATAAAAAAAAGAAGAAGAATAAGGGTAAGAGTAGAATATGCAAATAAGCTTTACGTGGTTCACGTGACTATAGACAACAAGAATTTCATTTACACGCAGCTTCCTAGAGAGAGCGGTTGCATTCGAGGAAAAAGAAAACAAAAATATAAAAGGTAAGCTTTCGTTCTCATTTTCTTTCAAGAATGAAAGTCATTCTCTTCTTAAAATCCGTAAAAAAAGATATTTTGGGAGTGTTGGTCAGAAACAGCTGTGCGTTCGTAGATGATTGGCTGTTTAAGATTGAAAAACATTAAAGTTGCTTAGGATTTTGAGAATTTTTAAAAAAGAAAAGATACATAGAGAGGAAAAGAGATATATAGAGAGAGAGATAAAGGAAAAAAAGAAAATAATAATAAAACTAATAAACAGCCATCGTATAGAAGCAGCAGGCAGTGCAAACGAAACGAGATTTTATATGTGTAAGAAGGTTTATAATAAGCAAAAGAGGCCATATAAAGAAATATATATTTTTCTATCAAACATATATTAAGTCAACAATAGATATTTGAATTTCGAATAGTTCACATGATAATACAGTAAAGTGTATTATATCATTTGTAGAGTTAAACAAGATTAGAATGGATCTGATGCAAAGGATTATTCTTGAACTGCCTATGGATTGAAGGAATGCTCAAATGATTTGAGAAGTATATGTATAAGAGTGAAAGTGTATGATAGAGAGAATGATAGTGATAGAGAGATAGAGAGAGAGAGAGAGAGAAAGTGATGAAGAGAAAGTCAAACTACATAAAGAGAATATATAAATGATCAGAGTATGTGTATCAATGAGAGAGACTCAAAGGTGATCAAAGAAATAGAAGATCAAAATAATAATTTTAACAATTGAATGGGAAAACAATATAGAAACAATCAAAGAAAAACGCCTTTGGGAGGAATTTCGATAAGTATGAGAAATTATTTTAGTGTAAAGTTAGTTTTTATGAGCATCGTTTGCATACAAGAAAGATAACAGGTAAAGAAGAGAATGGATTGTCCGCGTTTGGACATCAAGGCCTGCTTGATTAACAACAGCGATGAGATTTCTGTATCTCTTTCCGCTCTTTAAGAAAATATTTTCTTCTGCGTTAAGTCTCATCTCTACTCATCTATCTATCTCTCTCTCTCTCTCTACCTATCTTTCTCTTCATATTCTTAAACATATCATAACGATTCTCATCTTCTGTCTCTCCTTTTCTCTCAGAATCTTTCAAGGTTCATAACCGTCTGTAACTCGGAACTACCTTCTACAAACCATTATTGTGAATCTCGTCATGCACCAACGCTTTTGATGTAGAAAAGAGAAAAAAAACCTTTCTACTGCCATTCTTCTTCTTCTTCTTCCAATCAATTCTCTTCAACAATCAAATTTTTAAGCTTTTTAAAGGAACCAGATTTAAGGCAATCCTCTGATGAAATTTGGTCTAAATGATTCAGGCGCAAACGACAAAAATTTGTATTTTTCTTTCATCAGAACAACAAACGAGAGACATTGAGGTGTTAATTGAATGAGAAAATGGAAAGACGAAAGATTTAGAACAAAAAAAAAAGAAATTCACTTCTTAAAAAGGAAAAATAATGAAAATGAAGCCGTTTGTGAAGAAAAAGGATTGAAAAATAAGTTTTGGGCGGAGCATCAAAGTAGATTTGAGTTGGATTGAAAAGGAGGAGGAGAAGAAAGGAGGTGGAGCTAAGATGAACCTCTGTGACTGATTGAATCGTTTGAAGCTTCTTCTCTTCTTCTTCTTCTTCTTTTTTTTTCTAAGAGAAAACGACTGAAAAATTACAAACAGAGAGAGAGAAAGAGAATAGGAAGGGGGAAGAGATCAAAGATAGTTCGGAGAGAAAATCGTATTTCTTTTCAAACTAAGGTAGCTGTGAAGGAAAGCCGACTGGTCAAGAATCGAGGGAAAATGTAAAGTTCTCTGATAATATTATTGGAGAGAATGTGTTGGAAACGGTTGAGTTCACTGCAATAAGCAGCGAAAAGACATATTCAATACTTTTCTCAACCAAAATTATAAGTGAAATCAACGGAAATGGCAGAAAAATGAGAAAAAAAAGGATGGACGAAGAAGCAGCAGAAGCATCGCCCCGACAATTGTGGTATTGAAAGGAGCATTAAGCGAATAACAAGAAAGGAAACAATGAAACTTCCAGTCATTAGGAAATCTTTTATTCTTTCATCATGTAGTGAAGGTGGAGATGGTCGTTTAAGCATATTTGAATCTGAAGATGGATCGAGAGACAGAAATAGAGGGAGGGAGAGAGAGAGAGATTACCTCCCTCCTTCTACATCTTGTTTGAGAGGTAAACTGAGGATGTTTTTTGCTTTCGCGAAAAGCTGCTAAATGATACTTTACCATTCGAAATTCGTGCATGAAAACCTAAAAAATGTTTTCATATCTTCAGATATCATATTGGCATAACAAAGTTATGAAAATGTTCAGATGAACAGCATCCGAACGATGTACCGAATACAAAAAGAGACATTGAATGGCAAACCTCTCTCTCTCTTTCTCCCTCTCTCTCTCTCTCTCTCAATTCTACTCTCATTCTCCATATGAGAGGAATGTTGAGGAAAAAAAGATAAAGAAGAGGATGAATGAACGGGGGTCATCCAAAACTTTCTGACGAGCTGATAAACAACATCTCAAAAGCAAATTTTATGCTAATTCATGCTAATTCTACTATTTAAGGATATAATTTATATAATAATTATATCGATTGGAGATGAGTATAAATGTAAAAATGTATTTTTATATTCATTTTTTTACAATTAATCATTGAAATAGATGAAAGAAGGGTGACAATTTCATTTTATAGGTTTCCTATATTTATGAAAATGAGCAGTTCATATTACACGAGAAAAAGAAAATGAATACAATCAGTCATATACAGATAGATAGAGAGAGAGAGAGATAGAATGAGATTCAATTAATGAACAGAAATGGTGATTGAGTCAGGTATGTACAGATTATACTCAGATTTGAGGTGCCGTATATAGGTATTAGTGGATTGAATAGTCCTGACTAAAGAGAAACGAAAGCTGAGAAACAATCAATGCCCCCAGGGCAAAATACGACGAGAATGCGACTGCGTGGATGCGAAGGCAACACATCATATACTGGAAGATGAAGAAAAGCCGAAGATTTTGTTGGGCAAAAAGAAAAAAAGAAAAATGGCAAAAGAGAGTGTGTTGGGTAAGGCAGGATGGGTAATTACCTCGCAACATATGGAAATGAATGAAAGAGAAGTAACGAGTGGAAGAGATGCAAAAGGAAACGAAGTGTGAGGTGATAAACAGGAAAAGCAGAATGATTAGGAAAAAACAAAAAAAATGAAAGAAAAGCTCAAACAATCATGAATAGGTGAAAGACAGTTCACTTGTATACTCTGAGACACACACACACATCCATATAAGCCTACTACTCGTACTCCCATTCTACCCATCGTTCATACGTGGCTATGGTCGCAGACAGACGCAATGAAAGAAAATAAAGGAATTTGACCAAACATTTTGTGAACAAAATAGAAGAAATGCAAAATAGGAAAATGACTTGAAGCTTATGCATAACCATATATAGCCAATGGCAACGACATGCTGCTTGATTGACAAAATTCATTAATAATTGATTGAATTTAACAAATTTTGTTAACAAAATTTTTTTTGTAATAGAATATTATCTCAAAAAAATTATTTCAAAAAAAAAAAAAAAAGATTTATATTGAAAAGTGTAAAGATATGTACTTGTCAAATACAAATCAAATCAATTGAATCAGGGATAACATGCTCTGAAAGGACAAGAACCAAGATGGGAAGCTCTTTCTCTATACCTCAAATTAGGAAATGCTTTTGGTGAACAAATGGAAACATCTGTAAAGGCAGTATTGGATGAGGGAAGAGAAAGGAAATAATATTTGAGTCTTGAAAAAGCAAAATTATGTCATGTCACGACATCTGCACAGAATAATTTGCTTGTAAAAGATAGGATATGATAGTAAAGATGATGAATGAAGTGAGAGACAGCAACAGATGAAGAGACAATTCAGAAATAGAATAAGAGAGTAAGAGAGAGAGAAAGAGGGAGAGAGAGTAAGAAGAGAATGAATAAGAGAGCTAATATAATAAAAGAAGGACTATAATTTCTTGTTATTTTATAAATTTTAAATTTGTAAGCATAGGATAGTTGAATGGACAGAGCCAGACGGATAGCTATTTGACTGACTCCAAGAAATTTGAACTAAACTTTCGTGTCATTTGTCAAATAAAATAGCTTGAAGGAGTAATTTGAGGGAGGAAAAATGGAAAAAAGATGGACATCATGGATTTTATGGAAGTATTGCTGAACAGAGAAGAAGCTAGGAGATGAGCTCAGGTTCTCAATAGAAAATTGGGAACTGAAACGAAAGACGGACAATGAGATGAAAGAATTGGGATACGTGAGATTCTGAATATATTCGAATGCCATGAATGGCTAACCGAAGTAGTCGCTAGAAGGACATCGAAAGGTTGAGAAGTTGCAAAAGGATAAAGAAGCTTTTTAGTCGGCTCTTAAATGAGCTGACGGCAAAATCATCTGTGAATTCATGAGAAAGAATGTTTTATTTCTCTGAATTGGAGAAAAGGCCAAGAACTTCGACACTTGCCATTCAGAGGGGACACGCATACATACGCATTCATGTGCATAGACAGCTTTGAGGCTGAGTTATCTCCCGGAATGGTAAATTGCCAATGAAAATTAGATTTCCACGTGGGCCAGCAGCTGCTCAGACAGGCGACACTTTTGAGAACGAGATGGGCAAGCAACGAGGAGGTTGAAGACAAGCTCCAAGATGTGCAAAGCAGCTTTTGAGGAAGAAACATGGAGAATAGGGGAACAAAGTGATTGTCCAAGTAAAGTAAGAACGAAGTAAGGAATGAGAATGAGAGAGAGAGAAGCATAGAGAGAAAATAAAATAAAGGGAAAGACTAATATAGTGAGAATTTCAGACACACAAAGACATCAAGAGTTTTCCTTCGTCTTTGATTAGACAAAGATGAGTTGAAGAAGTGTCCTGATTTTGGGAGCAATATGCTAATTTCCGGTCCCATAAGACGTTTAAAATCCACATATAGCACTTACTAGCAATATCTTACTTATCTCATTGCTCATTTCAATATTCAGCTTTTCTCGAAACAAAATTGAACATGGCCTTTTCAAGCAAATTAACTTTTCCACTCCCTTCTTTCTCTTCAATTGATCTGCCCTTTTATCTCTTCTCTAACTCACTTTCTTTCAACTTTTTTTTCATTTGCATACATAATATATATATAAATATATAAATATATATGTATTGATGATTACCATGCTATGCGCATACACGGAAATTAGCATAATCATTAGTCACGTAAGCCACGTGAAAACATTCGATAATTTTCATTTTTTATTTCAAAAGATGCGTCAGAATGGTTGTGTTTCTTTACAGAAAAAAAAGAAAAGAAAATACTTCCAAACAAATACCGAATTACATACAATTAGGTGAAAGAACATATTTTAAAAAGAAGCAAAAAAATAAGTTTTGAAAACAAAAACGAAAACGCTTGAAGAGTCAACAATGAGTCGAAGAGAGAGAAATAAGAAAAAGTTAGTTTTTTTTCTTCTCTTCTGGGATGACGAAGAGGACGAGGAACGCGAACGAAGCAGACGAAAAGTCCTACAAACTGCCTAAACGGAAATCCATGTGCATTAAGGAAGAGAAAAGTCTGTTGATGTCTTGAGCAACAGGAGACAAGAACCAAAATTGAACAGTTTGAGAAAAGAGATAAAGAGAATGAGAGAGAGCATGAAAGGATATGTAGAGATAGAGGGTGGAAACTCTCATGTACAATGACTATGCAAGAGCACTATAAAGAGAAAAAGATTAAATTACATTAAGGATTTTGATTTCAATTTCCTAGCCTTCAATAAAAATGAGAGAAAAAGAGAAAAAGAGAAAAAGCATTTAGTCATTTTTCTACCTTTTAGTAGCTCAAATGGCTTCAGGCACATAGGTCATTAATCAAATGACATTTGAACTGTTTCAAGAGGATTAAAACAAGTGGAAAGGGGAGGTAGAGAAAGAAAATGAATGCCAAAAAAGGTATTTGACTGACATTTGCAGCTCAAAAATTCACAAAACATCTTAGCATTCTCATTTTATTTGTTCAAAATGGGAAATAATCAAAAACGGTAAAATGTCTCAAAACTGACCATATATACGTATGTTGTGCAAATATTTAAATATATATATATATATTCTTTATAACCCAAAGAAAATACTGAATTCCAGAAAGATAGCAGCATGCCTTGAGGCAAAACAGAATCTGAGCTTCTAAAGCTTGATATGACATTTTTTGTCATTCACAAGCTATTCTCTTAACTCACTTGCTCATTTTGCCCTATTTTGAACTTGATGGACATATGGGAATGAAGAAGCATGTTATTCTTTCAAATCCTCTATCCCAAAAGCAGTGAATGAGTCTTCTCTAGGGGGCAATGTCATCAAAATGTTCGTTACGGAATAAGTTTCGGACGTCTGAGCCGTATGCTCTTACTTCTCTCTTCATCTCTTTCTCTTTCTGTGCCAATTTTTCACTAACTTCCTATTTTATATTTTTAGTTGACAATTTTTTGTTCTCTTCCTCCGTCCTAACTAAACGATGGATAGTTTAGAAGCTGTAAATGGGTAGAGATATAAGCTTGACTAAAGCTAAAGACATACTTGCCTGGACAACAATAGCATCAAAGCTAAGTGAAAATATATGAAAAGACAAAAATATATTAGCGACTCTAAGAATTATGTGTAATAGCCGAATTCTGACATTCGTTACCAGAGCAATTCAATTGGTAAGCGATTTCAACAGCTCTCTCATTCTCTTTCTCTCCTTAAATCTCTCTCTTCATTTCAACGTCTCTCTCTCTCTGTCTAATATTGAAAAAGATTGCAATGGTAGCAAAAAAACTGAAAAGAAATGAAAATACGAAAAGATTTCCAGGAAGAAAAAACAAAAAGAGATGTTGGAAACAACCGTCACACATCAACGTTAAAGTTCAAAATGAAACAAACTGTGACGCAAAATCAAAAGGAAGAAATGCAAATGAAGCCAGAGTCAACAAATTAATGTTGAAAAAAGTCATCAATCGATTATGAAGTATAACTTATATGAATGTAGCGTTGATAGCAAATATGGCTGACACCTGGGATTGCGTAAGATGACTTGAGTATGGAGAAGGTCGACATGAGCGTATAATGGAGCTTCAAAAGATTTTGTTGACGACAAATGCTTTCTTTGAGAATAAAATGAACAATACACTTAATTAATAGACAAATTATTCGTAAGTGAAAGCGACAGATTGTAAAAGGTCTTCATATTCGCTATAAGTGGATGGAAAAAGCTGGAGGAGTTGCAATGATGAGAAGGATAAGTTATCGGAAAATGTTCCTGACGGGTTTCATTGAAAATGTTTCCAAATTGCTAAATGAAGCTGATTAGAAAGAGGAAATCAGGAATATGATTAGAGATGAATGAGTTGATGAAGCTTTCCCATCATCTTTCCGTCAACTATAATCTTTATAACTTTACAACTTGAACTTGAGCTGGAAGAGTAATTCTATTGGAGTGAGGAAGAAAAATGAGAAATGAGCTATGTCAAAAACAAGAAGCCGGAAAAAGAAACATATATGAATAGAATTCAACTTGAACTTCTCACGTATTTGAAGGACTTATACGATTTTATGCAAATCGCGCAGAAGTTTTTGGTGTCATACAAGGAAATCTCATACGTTCTTCCTCGAGATAAGTGAAAATAGTAAAGATAGCATGTGCATAGTAATCTTTCTTCCTCTTTTCCTCTTTTTTCTCTCTATCTCTCTCTCTCTTTCTCCCTCTTTCTCATGTAAGAAAGAAATGGAGGAGACAGGAGGGTGGAGAGAAAGATATCTCAGGCAAATTGACCTATCGCCACTGATGAAGATGATCTAAACTCTCTAATTTCCCCCTTCACTCTTCCAAGAGATTATTGATTAATAACAAAAAAAACTAACCAAGCATTTGACCTTTGCTGATAATTCCTTTTTATGCGTTTTCATTATGAGAGAGCTATAGAAATCATACAATCCGAATCAGTTCTTAGTACTCAAACAGTTTTTTTCACTTTCTCATGTTCGAAGGCACAGATGAACTTTGAGATCATCTGAAACACTTCGAATCCTGCTCGACTATATGCATATATGATTTGTGAGATATTGGAAATGTACTCGAAGTTGGGAAGTTTACGAAACATTTTTTTTTTACAAATTTCGTATCATCTTAGTCTTTTATGACAACCTGCCTTCATCTGATATAACACATAAGATTTGAGAGACACCAGAGAGACAGAGTTTGTGGTTAGAGACGCAGAGCAAAAATCGACGCTTCCCAAGGTGCAGGCTGGGTGGGAAATGAACTCAACGCTTCTCGCACATCGTTATATTTTAACTAAATTGAAATTAATTAATTAATTATGTCAAGATTCCCCCCAAACATGGGTATGGAATACTAAAATCGTCTAATGGCACGTTTTGTGATCTTGTTTATCATTATTTCTGTTTTTTACGTTTATTCCAAGCCAGTCGCGCGCTTATGATTTTTTCGTTTTCATTTCAAAATTGTGTTTTTGAAATTTAAGTCTTTTGTGATTACGAATTGCGTTTTATTCATACTTGTGATTCACTTTTTTGGAATGCAAAACGTCTTTTTTCAGTGTATTTCCAAGCATCCTATGGACTTACCTCAAGTTCGGGTATCCAGAGGAAGGTCCGTAGAGCTTGATGGTCGTCGCATAAATGCCGTTTCACCAATGCATCTTGGTTTGTCATTTGTTATTTATACCAAACATGTCTTTATGGCCATTTTCCAGGCGAATCGGTTTTGCAAAATTTAATAAAAGAGAAGCAGTCTCAACAACAGCAGCAACAGCAACAGAATCATCAAACGACTGTGCAAGATGAAAGCTCCAAAATGACCAAAAGTGAGTGATTTTTTAAGTCTCCTCAGTTCTATATATTGTTATTTCCTCAGCGGACGATAATGAAATGAAACTCATGAAGATGATTGAAAAGTATCAGAGTCAGGTCAAGCTGCAACAACAACGAAACCCTTCACAGGCTTCGTCACGTAATAACCTTCATAAAATTGAGAAAATGTAGGGATTTTGAATCTGTTCCTTTATTGAGTTCTTAATTTAGTGCGAATTCGCGACCACCCAATGGGATTCCTCCATCCCACATGAGCCATTCCCAGCCTTGCTTGATCGCTATCACCGACAAACCACCTGATTAGTAAGCTTCTACTTAAATGTCAATTTTATTGTTTTTTTGTAAAGTAGTGTCACGCAACCTATGAGTAGCCATCAGTACCAGAGGAGATCTTCCGGCTCTGGTTCAAGTGACCAACATGAAGGCTTAGGCAATGGTTTAGCTAATCAAAGGGTTTGTTTATTTCTTCTTCTAATATATATTTCGAATCTTTATTCAGGCGAACAATAATCAGAAACTTCTTCAATCCATACGTGACCAGAACGTACAGCTGAAAAGAGAAGTTGACACTCTCAAGCATAAGTTGATTAAGTTGCAACAAGTAAAACTTTTTGTTATTGTCAGTTGATTAACGGAGTTGTTGTTTAGATCGAGACAGCATATGAAAGAATAGAGAGAGAATATGATGTCCTATTACGTGAAAAAGAACGTCAAGAAGGTTTGGAAATGACTACTCTCACCCAAATGGAACGCTATATACGACGGTTAGTACAAACGTAGTTGGATTCTTCGCATCTTTTCTCTTCAGGATATTAGCTGAAAGAGACATGCTACAAGAAAGGTTAGACCAAGTACAAAACTCTCTTCCGAACATGCAGATGCAAAGGGTTACGGTAGATAAGTACAGTCAACTTAATAGTTTGTTGAATGAGGTTTTACCACAAAGTATGTTTTGTTTTTCTTCTGTTCTTCGAACTTTCTTTTTCCGCAGACGAAGAGCTAAAAGCTTGCAATGAAAGGCAAAGGTTGGAGATGAATGCTCAATCTGCAACTCTTGAAGAACAACGGAACCACATTTCAATGCTAGAGAAAGCCCTAACGAATGCTCAAGACAGGTTATCCAAAAAAGATGAGGTAGTTAAACGGCTTCGATTCAAAATATTCCGAGATCAATTTCTTAGGCTGTCGAAGAATTAAGGAGCTCGCATGAACGATCAAAGATGTTACAACGTCAGCTAAAGGAAGTTCTCATCGATAAACAATCAAGAGATGAAGCTCATGCTCAGGAGCGAGCTCAGTGGGAGATGGAGATTACTCAGTTGCGGTTACAAGTCAACAAAGTTTATTATCACCGCAGATTCCAAAATTATTTAATATCGTATAGGATGCTTCGTTAAATGGTAGTTTAAAAAGATCAAATGGAGCGAGATCATCTGTTGATAGCGGTGATGAAGCAGTAACGCGCCTGAAAAAGTCCTTGTATGCCCGAGATGAACGAATTACTCACTTAGAGAAAACTATTATGGAACTTCAAGGGTATGATTACTGCTTGTTTTACATAAATTTTAACAACGACTTGTTGATTAATATTTGATTTTTAGTATATGATAAGCTTACAGAGTAAATGATAAGAATCCGATCTTTGCTTTTCTTTAAAACTCCTCGTTTAGGAAGCTTCATGATGAAACCGAGCGCAAGAAAGTAGCCTTAGGTGCCCTTAGTGACAATCTGGAATCCAAAATCAAAAGATTAGAAGAGGAAAAAACTGAAAAGGTTTACTAGTTTTCAGTACTGTAATTCTATTGAACTTTCCAGGATCGAAAAATAGCTGTGCTAACAGAAGAGAAAGAGAAGTTAGGAGATTTTTTGGATGAAAGTAGAGGGTATATTGCTTCATTATTCAATTAAAGCTAGGCTTCACTTTCAAGAACTCACTTGCTATTTGCAACATCTCGTGATGATGGAGGAAATCGGGATTTGGAAATGATAGGACAGAAAATCCAAGAGAGAAGAAGAAAAGGAAGACTGGGACCAACGGGAGGGTTCGTTTTTCATTTTTTTTTGCCGATTCATGTTTTTCTGTTAGATTAATCGGCATGACTGGCGATCATTCGAGATCTTCTTCAGGATCCTTACTACAAACAAGTCACCAAAGGTTAGTTTTTGTTTTTTTTTATGTGTACAGAGCGGTTGCATTCCATAAATTCTTCAGTTTACTATAACTATTTGTAGAACATCATCAATTGGTGGTGCACGTGACTCTAATTTGCTTAATGACAATACTCTTCTTCCTGAAGCAGGTTATACTAGTAAATCATATGTAGAGCATAATGGAAATAGCGATTTTACAACAAAAATATCGTTTCGGTTCGTGTTTATCTTTTCTTCGTAACCTTTCCTATTATTTTGCAGAGGAGAGAAACGAGAAGACGAAAACGGGGATTCCGTATGGAACGTGTAAATATTTTTCATTTTGATTTAGCAAGGGATCGTTTAGATTTTCCATATTGGTCGTATCATAACTACTTAATAAGCATAATATCTTCGTACTAACCTATAATAGCCAAGGAAACACGTGGTTTCATGTCATGTCTTAGCCTCGTGCCTTTACTATCAAAAAATGTGATTGTTGCTCCTGTGCTCAATATTCTATAAGGGATGTATACTCTATGTTCTACAGATTTTGCCAAGATTTTTGAGAAAGTTTAACTTTACTAAGGTCTATGAACTAATTTATACTTTTTACTAATTCGTGTGTATGCTTCGTTTGTTTTTTTGTACAGTTTTAACAGTTGGACAACTGTGATAGTTTTTATGCCAATGTACATATTTGGAAGACTAATTTATAACACTGCCAAAGAAAATTTTAACAAAGAGAATAATAAATTTTTATTTTATATTGTTAATATATTCATATAATTGAGATCTACTCTTTGACAATAAAAATTAAATGAAAGCATATGATTATGGTAACAGTAGACTAAATGGAAATTTAGATGAGCATTAATGAGGTGGCACCGAGGAAAACAAGAAAACTTAGAAAAAACCTTGTTAACCGAACTTTTTTGTATCACATGTGGATAGGAAGCAATTGATTAATTTGTTTCTATAAATGAGATGAAGGCAATTATGGGAGTTAGTTTGATGATGAATTCCAAGTATCTGATAGCATCTCTAGCATTCTTAAGTTATTTTAGAATATTTAGTTTAAAAATAGACTGTAGGAGCTCCATCTTGATTAGTGACAGTAACAGGCACTAAGTGAGCTCCTTGAGCTCTTTTTGGCGCAGGTGATTTAGTTGTTTCGAAGGCTCTTTCTTTCTCGCTGTTCACCACATATCGGCTGAAAATGAAGATTGATGAACTATGCACAGAAATATATGAATGCTGATTAGAAGAACATTAAGTATGTGAATTTGATGAACGAGGACACACGCTTAGTCCAAATATGGTTAAGAATAGAAGCGTAAATGCCCTACCTTGGCGTTGGCATTGTGCCTGTGATTGTTATTCCTGTATCGTTCGTGCTGTTCATCCAGCAAATGCTTGTTCGTTTATGACTTCGCCATCTGCAAAATTTTCTTTTTGTTTATTAATTTCAAAAATATTTAAAATGTTATTTTGGAAAAGTTAGTAAGTGTTTAGGACAGTTTGACAGAGGACGGCATTAAATGAATGTTTGGATGGTTATATTGCAAGGAAAGTTAGGGAAATGAAACTCACGCATAATGCATTCTCTTGAAAATAAGAATGAGAAGGATAGAGAAGATGAGTGCGAGCAGTGTCAGATTAAGAACCGTAAGTACAGAACTTGTTGATATGGAGTATAAAGTGTTCTTGATTATAACCTGAAATAATAATATAATTAACCATGATATGAATCCAAAATACTTTTGTTAAAGCTATTGATCCAGCTTCATCTGATGCTTGAACTATCAATTCACATGTTGAACAAACTGGACGAGCACCTGACTTCAAGCGGACAACTCCTCTCTCATCAACGGAGAAATCTCTGAAAAATAAATTTTATCAATATCTGTACATTGTACAAAGAAATTTACTTATTTAAGTTCAATAGATTATATTTGGAAACTTTGCTACTCTCCGGTGATAACTTGATATGCCCAAGGACAGGTAAATTATTGCTTGTTGACATGGCCATTATGAACTCTGATTTTTCAAAACTGATCGTCGATTCATTAGAGATGATGATCGCCGGTGGACAGGACGAAGCAATGGGAGAAATTGTAGGCAATTGAGAATCTTCTTCAACGGTTAATAAAAATGGAACCAATGTACTCTGAAATAGCTTCTCTTAGCAAGCTGCTAAAAAAACTCCACTGACTTCGCCTGTTGAACTACTAGTTGCAGTTACGTTCACGGCATACTTTCCAATATCATTAATATGACCAACAATAGTAATCTCTCCTGTTTGAACATCTATGGACAGAGGAATGTCATGGGCTGAATCCTTCAGTGAATAGACGATCAAATCGTCGGCCATCTTAAAGCAAAGCAAATGATTTTCCACTGTACATTGAGCATTTACCTCAGTATTGACAGCTTTGACCACCATTATGACGTTTCTAGGAGCTGTTCCTTGTGAAATCTGAAAAGAGAAAATACTGTCATGATCACTTCCTTCAAAAAATAATTACCTTTGTGGAGTACATCTGATGCTCAAAACGGATTGAGTTCTCCAAGTTAACTAGGACAATTGTAGTGGCATTTCTCTCTTTGTTATCACTCTCAACAGCCTGAATTATCATAACTATAGGATGATAACATGAAACACAATATTACATTCACAAATAGTGTTATATGAGAAGGGGGATTTTCTTTAGCTACCAGTATAACACCTCGTTTGTCAATTGTGAAGAAGGAACTTCCTTCTGAAAATAGTTCGAGTTGTAGACAAGCATGTGAACTTGAAGATAGATGCTTGGATTGATCCACGCTTACCTCCTTCTAATGAGAACTCTATGTTGGCTCCTAAATCATCGGCATCGTAAACCTGAATAGGTTCGGGTTGCAAAACTAATTGACCATCCTATAATGAATAATTGGTATGAGTTTTCCTTATATCTGAAGAATACCTTAATTTTGGAAGATTTATACAGTTTTTGCGAAAAGTATGGATTGAGATCATTGACATTCTCAACTGTTACCCGGAGAGGAACTCTCGAGAATTGGCTTGGCTCGCCTTGATCTCTCGCTTCTATTTCTACTTCGAATTCTTTAATCTTCTCATAATCTATTCGATTCTATAAACGAATTGTTCAATTGTTTGTAAACACAGTGAATGCTTACCTTAATTGTAACTACTGGTTTGAATGGATCTGAAATCTCAAGAAGATCGGAATATTCTCCATTAACTATAGAGTATTGAATGAAGCTATTGGGCCCAGGTTGATCTCTGTCAGTTGCCTCAAAATCAGCGAACACGATAGTACCTACAAGTTACAAGAACGTTTATAAATCAATGCTTTCTTAGATTGAACCTATTGGCAATTCTTCTTTTATCGTGATATTATATTCTTCGGCATCAAATTCAGGAGCATTATCGTTGACATCTTTGACAGTCACAAAGACGCTTATGTTTAACTGGAACATTTGATTTACTAATATATATGAGCCCTCTTGCTCTCTCACTGTCTCACTCATTCTGTGAAAGGGATAAGCTGGAAATCAAATAAGACCTTCTTATCACACATCATATGTCAATAAACAATTTAAAGAGTTTGTCTTCAAGTAGGAGACCCTCTTTTGATGCTAACTTTTTTCAATTTTTATAAACATACCTGATTAAAATCCGCATCCAAATCTGATGATTTACATTCAACAACAGCTTCAAAACGAGTTGAACCCTGAAATTTTGTGATTCTCAATTAGTCTCGTGATGAAGTTCGATCGTTTAGTTATTATCATCTTTCACAATAATTTGTCTCATTGAAAATCTCAAATTTCGTACTTGTAAATTAAAACTTCTATTCTTTTTAGACAGTTCGGATGGTCATTTCTGTGTACATACGACTCTCTTCCTCTTCAACTTTTCTTTGTTTTAACAACCCATACAAGCACTCAAAACGGTAAACATTTGACTATTAAAAATGAGTAATTATTTCATAATATTTCTTTCTTTATAATAAATCTTCTTCTCTCTCTCACTCCCCCTCTCTAACACTCTCAGTCCCTCTCTCATTCTGTCTTCAAATAAGGAAGTTTATATAGTTAGTAGTCTGATTGTAATATACTGTTTTTGGGTTTGTATTCACCTCATCACGATCCAATGGGGCTTTCAGTTTAAGCTTTTTCGTTCCAGGTTCGATATCCACCAAATCTTTACCCTTGATGAGTTTCAACGATAAATCAGGCTTCTCTCCATTAACAGTTCCTTTGATCGGCAATTCACCCACAATTTTTCCTGAAAAAAAGGAACCTCGTTGCAATGAAGACGTCTTTCAGGAAATTCAAATCAGATATGCCCTTCAATTGAAAACGAAAATGACGTTAACGATCTATTAATGGTTAAACCGCCAAAATACAAAGAAGAACCTCCTTCGTTAAATGATTAAATTATTTTCTTTAACATGAATATAACGAGAGTTTTTACCAAAAGAACAACCGATTGAGTTGATTATTTGAATTAAACCAGATAATTTCTAAATTGGTCCTAATCATCAGACTGGTTAACGGTCATTTAGATTATGAGCTTGTATGACGGATTGACACGTCACGTGTATTCACGGTCATGTTCATTCTTAGCATAAAACTGCTACAGATCGGTCGCATTCCGAGAGTGAATCTCATTCTATCACTCAATCCATTCTTTATAGGAATGATAAGCGTATTCGTAAGTTTTTCCAATGATCACAAAAGCGAGAATGAAAGTCCTTGGTCTTATTTGGGTAAACTCTTGAGGTTTTTCAAACATAACAAGAAAGCAAAAGATGATGATAGGAAAGGAAAAGGAGACACCGCTGAGGTTTTGCTTTTTTTTCTCAAGAAATGAAAAGAGAATACAGATATTTTACAAGAGCTCCGCTCATCTTCTGATCATTTGTAAAAACAAAAATCACATTTGCAGTCATGTTAACCATATTTGGATAATCTTCATCAAAAAAATCTTCAAAGATATACGAAAAACACATTCATATTGATCATTTTGGACTAAAATTCAAAGTCGATCGGTCAGGTTATTTAAAGCTATTGAAAAGGCGTCAAAATAAGCTGCAATCTAGCTCTTACAGAAATTTCAAGTGGGATCTGGGACAAGAAGGAGGATAGGTGAAGTTTCCGTGAAAGAAATGAAAAAAGATCATTCGTCATATTTTTTTTCTTCTAAACATTTTCTTTTGATTTTGGAAAGAATTTCAGCCATTGTGTTGCAACAGGAGAAGTGTTGCTCATTGAAAGGTCAGACAAAAGTTTGGAAGCGCAAGAAATAGTGCAATTTATTAGCATAGCCCATTGTTTTAGCTTTTTCCAAAATATTCTAGTTTATTCGTACCTGGCTCTAGATCCTCGAAGACAGAAAGATATACGGAGTTCATTCCATTTTCCAGTAAACATGTATAAACAGGCGAAAGTAGGAAGAAAAGCAGTTGCCACCACCTCATCGTTTTGAACACGAAAGTGATTGTTATTGAAGAAATTCCTTTTCGAACTGAAAATCATAAGAAAATCAATGAGATTGATTAGAAAACAATAATGAAATAGCTAATAGCTTGTTCCGTCATCACTACAATGAAAAAACGAAGAGTTAAGTAGAAAAGAGGTAAACGTCCACTGGACAGTTTTGACAAAAAAAAGGCAAAGTTTGGAAAAGCTGGACAGCATCTGACAATTGGCGATAATTTAAAGTAAATAGTGGAAGGAAAGAAGAAAAAAGGATGTTAGAGACAGCAATTGGACAAATTTGTAGCTTTAAGGAAGAAGATGATGATGAAAGGAGGAGTTACACACCGATTTTACAAGAAAAAACCAATTCAAGAGTTTGTCCGATTCTCTCTTTTTTTTAAACTTTTCGTAGTTGTTAGATGGCTGTAGCTGTCTGTATCCACATTCATAGATGAAGTTTTCAAATTAGGAAGATTTCATAAGATAAATGACTAGCAAGTGGTGGTTGAATGAAAAAAAAAGTTAGAAACGTTCGTCAAAAGCATGAAGAGTCCGGATTTTCGGGAAAAACAAAAGCTTTCAATATCTGTCAACAGATAGTTGAAAGTTATATAATTAATATCTTGAATCACGAAAAATGCAAAAGAAGGACAAATATTTCATAAAAGCTTCAATGCTCTCTTTCATAGATTTTGATGTCTCAAGCTTTCCTCCTCGCATGCGTTCTATCGTGCCTCTTCTATCTCCAACGGACCGAAAAGAAGTTGAGATTTCTTTCACTTCAAACATCGCTCATGAGAAATTATACAGAACCTCTTCTGTAGCCCTCTCTTCTTCTCTCACAGTTCTGAAATCTTCGCCTTCTTTGCTCAGCTTTGCCTTGAGTCTTGACGATTCCCAAAAAAAGTCGGTGAAATCAGATATCAACATGCTTTTTTGGAAAAGACGAAACGATTTCAATAGGGATGAACTGAGCAGAATCAAATAAAAAAACAGTAAAAAGATGACAGCGAATGGTAAAGACAACAAGAGTATTTTAACAACTGTAGAATATAGTCGAATTAGAAAGAGCTAAATCATAAATCGAGCAGACAAGAGTACCGATTGGAGAGGCCATACAAGGAGGGGGACAAGAGCCTATGTGTAAGGTAAAAGAGCTGTGGGTGGCTGAATAATCTACCTCCATATCTCTCTATCTCTCTCTCTTTCTCTGAGTTTCTCTTGTTCTTCAGTAAAACGAGAGGACACAAGCTGGTGGGTTGTTTGAGTAGAAAGACGAGGCGTCGTCTCTCATCGTTTGACTGACGACCACTCCTTCGTGCTCAATGCTCGGTCATCTTGACTGCCTGAACTCTTTAAGACAACAAAATAGGTCGGAGAGAGGTATATTACTCGTTCCAAACAAAAATCAGTTGTTTTCATATTCTCGTCATAACAACAACTAAGAAATAAGTGACCATAAGAGAATATGCACCAGAACGTCTGGCTCGTTAATGAGATAATCGCAGGGGACAGGCTGGACTAACGGCCTGAAACCACGCCTCATTCTTGTACGACAGAAACAATTCTTCAAGAGGAAAAAAAAGACGAAAAAAGAAGAAAACATCGAAGGAAGTCAGATAAGGAATCAGAGTTTAGAGATTTAGTACATAAAGAGGGCTGTCTGTAAAAGCTGACAGTGAATGGCAGTAAGCTTTACATAGTTGGTGTCTACAGAAGGGAGAGCGATAATAGAAGATGAGAGAGAAAGGTGGGAGACCAGGCTATAAAGAAAAACGAGAAGAATGAAGTGAAGGAAGAAAAGGAGGTTATTCAATACACCACAGAGAGAAATAGAAAAAGAATAGGCAGAGTGAAAGATGGAGAGAAGCTAAAGAGGGGAAGTTTGTATAATTAAAAGCTCCCATTACATAGAAAGAAATGAGGAAAGGCTTATTACTTCTGCAATCCGTGTAAAGGCTGTTCTACCAACTTATTCTGTATGTTTTGAGTTTCCGAGAGCTGTTCAAGCAGTAAGAGAGAGCTGAGGAATGGATAGGAGGATTATATATTTATATACTATATATATATAAGGGCATGAATGACCTTAAGCTGAAACCAAACAATGAGGTGAAAGAGGAACTCGTGAGGTTCTGGGTTGGTCAGACCCATAATTACATGTGATGATTCAAGTCAGAACAACCAAACTTCTTCATCTGGTTTATAGCGAAAAAAAAACAGTTTTATTTTATAACAAAAATGAAATAATTAGCCGATTCCCATGAAAACAACTTAATTATCATCGAACGGCTCCGTTTTTATTGAAAAAACAGGTAAAAATGCTATTTCTCAAACGATTTTCACGTAAAATCTTCAAAGGAGTAGCCGAACAACTTAAAGATGAAAGCTGACATGATCGTCTCTCCGACTGTCCATCTGATTTACGATGAGCGAGAAAGAATTTCCTACCATTTTAATATCATTTTTTTTCTTATTTTCTTCTGCGACTTTCCAACCTGTCTACTAGAACAAGTGAGAGAATGAGAGTTCTAAGTAAAAACCGGTACATCTCAAAACTCAAGAGTGTATTCTATAACAACTTGAAGATTTCTCTTTTTTTTTGACGCTAAATTGAAGAAAAGAAATTTAACAAGTTGTTTTGTGAGATTTCGATTATTTCCGTTTCCCGCGACTATTACAAGAACTTTCATTTCTTATGCTAAATGCTAGTAAAGCGGTTGTATCTTCTTCTTATATACTAAGCATACTAACAATTTCATTTTGAAACATTGAATGAAACAGGTTTATTCACAGACAATCTTACTTTGAACTAACGTTCAATAGGAGATTAGATGAGTGAATCCTCTCAAGATTCATATGAACATAAAACGCCGAAATATCTCGCTTGTAAACCATAATCATCAACTTATTCAATCAATCTTATGAAATTAGTTGAAATCACAGCTGAATTTTCTTGTTGGTCTGAGTAAAGATGGCGTCAACTCAATTTCCTTAATTGCTTAGCAGATCTTCAGCATACTCTAGATAGAGATGGAAAGAAGTGAACTAACTTATACGGAATCAAATCCAGCCTTCTGTCTGTTATTTTTCTTGTTTCCGGGCAGGTGCTCTTCTGATAGGTACCATTTATTATAATCCCATAAATGGGTGTAAGAAAAGCTTATATGTCATCATGTAGTCTGCGTTAACTAATGAAGAGCAGAATGTAGTCACGAAACACTCCTCCATGTGTCTCAAACTGACCATAATAGCATCATAAGAATATTGTATTCGTCCTCTTACTAGTCATTACCACCAATTTCATTATGATTCAATTAGTTTTAAGCTTTTATCCAGGCTACCACTGCTCGAAGAAGAAAGGCACGTAAGTATAACCCTTCGAGAAATAACATAATGACCATAAGAGGATGACTCTCAATAGTTTCATTAGGTTTTTAATAAAGCACCATGATTCTATAAACATATCCTGAATACTTGAACTAATACCATGAATTGACCATACATATACATATTCGAGGGTGCATATCATCTATGAAAATGCTTTGTCATATAGAGGGTTTGCAGTATAACCATTTGATAGAAAGGCTACGGAGCAGAATACAGAATCATTATAACGTTGATTGAAACAAGATAAAATCCAATAATAGTGAAATATATTTATTCTCAAATTTGAATTTAACTATGATCATGAAGCCAGTAAAACATGAGTTCTACTAGTAAACTATGCATTTTGAAGATATTTTCATAGGATAATTATTAAAATGTTATAATAAATATAATAAGGGGATTCATATTGAACATTTTTAACGTTTTTCTCTAAATAACAGAATATCCAAGCTCCTTTAAGGATGAATCCGCTTTTAACAAGTCAGCTTCACTCTACCACCAACAGTCGTTTAAAGGTCTGCAGCTGACCGATCTCACTTATACTTGGATTACGGTAGCTCGAATTTGCGCTGTTTTGTCATCATTTGAATCGCAAAATTTGCGTTCATCATATCATCTCAGCAGTTCCTTGTTAAACGGAACTGAGAAATTATTAAAATGCAACTAATTTTGAATGCATGGAGGAACCGTACTGGTGGAGCAGTTGATGCAAGTAAGCAATTTTCGTTAAATCTGTAGTAGTTTCTGTTCTGTTCAGGTGCATTTTTGCAAACATTAGAATCTCCAAATGCTATGCACAAAGAAAAAGAACTTATTATTGAAGTATTCGATGATTGGGATGTTTTAACAAACACATGGTTTGAGGTTAGAAAAGATTTTCTGTTTTATCAGTTATGGTTTAAATGAACTACAGGTCGCGGATTCATTATCCTTCATCGAAGGTTTGTACGAAGATACTACTTTCCCAGCCAGAGATAAAGCTGCTCTTCTCTCATCTAAGGTTTGGTCATTTCAATTTACGTTTTTTAAAGAATATTTGTAAAGGTCGCTTTTTGCTTGGAAGATTACCAATTGGCTTTAACTCTTGCCCTTTCTGCCGGTACAGCTTTCCAACTCACTCCTCGTCCTTCTTCAACTTTAGTCGGAAACAAAGATGAAGAGGTATAGCTTTATTAGTTTTCTTTTTAACTTTTTTTTTCTTTTAGTACGTAAATAAGATCATCGAAGTTGCTCTGGATACATACAAGTTATCCCGCAACGAAGGTACCGAAATCGACAATAGATTAGAAGCTTTGGTTAATCGCTTATTCGAGAGAAATCTTGAGAAGGTATGTCTGACTAGTGTTCTTTATAACTCATCGCATTTAGAAAGAATTCCGTTATGTCGTTGGGCTTGCTCTGGAAACTCGTCGTGTTGATATGGTCGAACGTGCCATTAAATCAAGCAATGATGTGTCAGGTACGTGTTTTCAATATATTTTATATGTAACAATCAAAGTTAAAGGTTTATTGACTGAAACTGTTCAAAAAGTTTTGGATGGGCAACTTGATGCTAATCTCCGTAATTCCTTGTTGGATATGCTTCTTACCATCTTCTCCACCCAGGATCAACCAGACTTCGTAGCTCTGGTCCAGGTATTTTTTGACTACTTTTTTCATTTCTATTCATCTGTTTGTAGTGTCTTATTCGTCTCGAAAAACCTGCTGACGTTGCTGATCTCTTGAATCGCCTTCTGAATCAAAATGTATTCAGTCCTTTCCCAATCTTCAAAACATTGTTTTTTTTTCAGGAAGGAGAGCTGCTTGCTTATCAAATTGCTTTTGATCTCTATGAAAATGCGTCCCAACAGTTCATTGCTAAGATTTTGACTGTTTTGAACTCGGAAGAAGCCTCCAGGTAATTGCTGATGTAACCAACCCATCTTATTAATAGGAATTATAGATCAGACGACACGGAAACCGTCGCGGAAAGCTCCAAGAAGGTAAAGGATATTCTATCGGTCTGGGAGGCAGTAAGTACTATGTGTGCCTGCATGCCAGAGATTGATTTCACTTATTCTAAACTAGTTTATAAATTGGAAAGAAAAAACTCAAAAAGCTTCTTCCAAGTTCAATCATAAAGTAATTTTTTGAATTAAGGTTACTCCTCACTCAAGGCTCAGATCTATCTTACGCGGTGAAGAAACTATCAAGCATCATATGCAATTCCTGATAAAGAATAACCATACTGATATGCTAATTTTGAAGGTTTGGAACTTAGGCTCAATGTAATTTAATTACCTTTATAATTAAGGAAATGAGAGATTACGTGCGAACAGCTACTGCTCACAACGCCACTGTTGTTTCAAACGGAATAATGCATTTGGGAACCACTTGCGACGACTTCTTGAGAGACAATCTCGATTGGATCAGTAAAGCTACTAACTGGAACAAGTTCAATGCCGTCGCTTCCCTCGGTCTGATTCATAAAGTGAGAAAATGATCACATTGTTCTGCTCAATCTCAAATAACCATTTATAGGGTCATGAAACTGCCGCCATGAAGCTTCTCGAGCCCTATTTACCTAAGAGTGAAACTGACCAATACGGCTTTAAGGAAGGAGGATCTTTATACGCTTTGGGTAAGCTGAACATTTTCCCCTGTCGACCTTGTTGACGAGATTCGCAACTTTTTTAAATCAAGCGGTGAACTTTACTCTTACAAAGGCAAATAAAGCGTGGTCCATAATTTAGTTTCCGGCTAGACATGATTAGTGCGGGAAGACATTCTGAATTAAAGAGAAGAACTTTCATTTTAAATTTGCAGGTCTCATGCATGCTAATCATGGAAATCCTTCTGTTATCAAATTTTTGAAACAAGAAGTTGCTAATGCTTCGACAGCCGCTGTTAGACACGGAGCTTGTCTCGGGCTGGGATTGGCTGCAATGGGAACCCATGACCAGGAAGTAAGTCTGAGGGCGAAACATCCAACCATTGTGTGCTTAAGGTTTACTTCACACTTCGTGATGCTCTTTATCTGGATGAAGCTGTGACCGGAGAAGCCGCTGGTTTAGCTATGGGTCTTGTTATGGTTTGATAAAGATAATAAGTTTTGAGGAAAAACTATCACTTAGGTCGGAAGTTTGAATGAAGCTGCTTTCAACGAAATGGTACAATATGTCAGTGATACACAGCACGACAAAATTCAACGCGGTCTCCGAACTGGTATTGCCATTTTAGGATATGGTTAGTTACACACGAAGGTCTCTAATACTTCATATCCTTGCAGGTCGTCAAGAGGAATGTGAAAAGTTTGTTACCCCTCTTTTGGAGAACAAGAGTAACGCTGTTCTGAGAGCTACTGGTGTTTGCATGCTTGCTATGGCTTACGCCGGAACTGGAAAAGCTGCGGTTACAACTAGATTGTTGGAGAAGGTAATTGTACTCATTCGTGTTCAAGATTAAGTGAGTCGTTTAAGGTAGCAACTGATCCTAATAATGATGTGAAGCGGTTTGCTGTTATGGCCTTTGGTTTCCTCCTCATCAAGTATGTTTTTTACATTATTATATGGTTCCGGATGTCTTTGAGAGAACGGCTTGTAAAAGTATGAGAGAATATATGAGAGAATATGTAGGCGTCTAGATAAGCTTTATACGGAATAGCTAATCGGGATAAAACACTTGTACAGATATGACTACAGGTTCTGATGAATACATGTTGAGATAGAACCGTGAGAGCAAGGTTATACACGTAGGAAAGTGTGAAAATTTTCAAATTAAATTTATGCCGGGTACAGTGAGCGACCGGTGATTGAGCAAATGCTTAATTTACAAAAACGTTTCTTTGATTTGCTTTCCAAAAGCGGATGAAAAAAGAGTTAAATGTTGGGGGCAGCTGTTAATAGATGATGACATGGTGGTTTCTGTATCTGTACTGTCAATCATACATCTACATCGTTGACAATCTATGCAAGAGGCTGATTTGGGAAAATCGGAATTGCTTATTGAGCTGGAAGAAATGAGGGTGGTAAATGATTTACGTATCACAACAGATGTGTAAACTCGTGGTGGAATAAGGGGCTTCTGTTCGCTTATTATGTCTTCATCACTTGTTTCCTCAGTTGTAGCGCGTGAATCTCGCAATGCGCTTCCATCAAGACTAGGTTGCTGACTAGAATCCTTGAAACAGAAGAATATTATAAATACTCAGCGGCTTTTCCTCACCTTTTTATCTCTGCTCGCTTCACTGTCGTTGCTGTTTTGTCTCTGCCACGATGAGTCGCATCCGTTTTTCAAATTTTCCGTAGCATTAGTTTCTTCTTTTCCATTGACAGAGATCATTCTCTCGTGGTTGGACCTGCAAAGAAGAAGTCATTATTGTTCAGGGTTGCTATCCTAAAGCTTAGGTGCTGATGAAATATATCAATGGATACGTGCTTCCGGGGGATGTGGGTTGGGGTGCATAAAGGCTTAGTAATCTTTATTCCACTAAATATGCGAACGTTTTGTCTATTTGAATTGCTCTCAGCTATTACGTAAAAGTCTTTTCATGATTTATAGTTTTCCATATGGAACAAGCAAGTTTTAAAAATCTTAAGCCAATGAATGTGTCTCCCAGTAACTCGAGATCGTACGTGTTATTTTTTGAACCAAAGTTGTGTTTTGAGTAAGAAGCACGTTTATCTAACTCAACTGATTACGACACATTGACGGCTGTTCTTGGTGTCAGATATCAGAGACTTACGAGACTCGTCGTTAAGTATAATATACACAAGGACATGAGAAGAACGTTGAAGTTAAATCGAAAAAAATCCATCTTGTACTCTTAGCAAACTATGTCTTCAACGTTTTTGTCGAGAAATATTCTGCGCCTCTTATTTCTGCTATGATTTATTCAGGAAGACAATTGATTTTTGCGCGTCTAAACCTTTCGCCAGATCCTCACACGGGAGGCACTCAACAGTGAATTCCTAACTAGGAAGAAACGACAAAGACTAACCATGTGTAGGTGTCTGGAATAACAGTGGTGAAATTACGCGAATACAAAGCGCTTTGATCTCGTAATGGGTGGAAGCATTGGCAACGAAGGATCCGAACAAAAGCTTGTCGGAATCGCTTATTGAATACAGTGTAGATTATAGGGTTAATTGTACTAGAAATATATCCGAGCCATAAAAATAGTGAGCCTAGCCAAGATGGTGGAGCACAAGTAGCTCCACAGAATCCCATAATGAAATTGGCAATGAAGAAAGGCGTCCAGCAAATAAAGAAACAGATGAATACCACTGCAAGCACGCGCGTAGCTTTATGCTCGTTCGCAAGTTCTTGGCTAGCCGCCTGTAAAATGTGTGATTAGCAAGTATTTCACACTTTTAGCAGTTTTTATTGCACCAAATACGGAAGAAAGCGGAAATTAAGAAAAAGAGAGATCAATGACTAGAAGTGGCTAACCTGAAGAGAGCTTCGGCGGCTAACTCGGCTTGCGATGCTTGATAAGTAATTTGACGTTCTTGACTTCCATCGGTTTATCGTAGATGTTTTTGTCAAAACAGCATGTCCGTTGTATAATTGCGATTTGCTCTTCTTCAAAGTAATTAGTTTGGTCATATCCGCATCAGTAAGGCTATGCTGATAGCTATTGGAGAAACTAGCGATACTTGTCTTAGGGCCATTACTGCAATTATAATGATATATTTCATGAAGTTCCGCAGTTTTTGTCACCTGTTACTGCTTGATTTGTGAGTTCCGTGACTTGTGAAGCCATTTGTTGATGTTGAGTTTGTTCGAACATAACCAAGTTTTCTATGGGGAATCGTTCGTCGAAGGCCGTTGCCGTTTAGCTTGTCGTTCGCACGTTGACTCAAAATGGAAGCTTGCTTGTTCAGTAGATTTGTTGTTCGTACGTAGGTGACAGCCATGATTCCAAAAGGGATAAGGAATGTTAAAGTAGACCCGTAAATAATGTAGTATTGACTGAAATAATCTTGTTTGGAAGATTAACAGTGATAAAACTGTACCTGAATATTGTGCAAGTATTCTCTCGTAAAATATTAGTGTTATCAATAACAGCTAGTACTGCTATAGGTGATGACACTAGTAATGTGATGAACCAAACTAAAGCAATTTTTGTGAGAATCATAGTTTTAGATTTGTTGCGTGTCCGTAGTGGCTGAGAGATGCCTAGGTAACGGTCCAAAGAAATAACGGACATATGGACAATACTAGCACTGCATAGAAAGACGTCAGCGTAAACATAAAGGAGACATAATGAGACATTCCATGTCCAAACTCCTGAAGTGATAAAATGAGTGAGGAGAAGCTTTTTTTTTAATATCATAGGTTTCTTGAGGTGTCACTTAGATTGTCAAGACGAGCTTCTCAACTGTTTGTTTGTGAAGTGTGAGAATATTTTAGTTTACCTTCGTTTATTATTCGCAAGAAACAATGTTCAAATTGTGATGAGGAATTGGAGTGTTTTATGATTAGGAGGGGTTCCTCGAGAAAAAAGAAATTTGAAGTCACTACAACGTTAGATGACAATCGACTAGTATAAATGAGAAAAACTTTCGAAATTATGCTTATTTGGACATAAAACAGTATAATGTGTTTGAGATAAAACCAACCATGTCGAACCTCCACTACTATGCTCAATGGCATCACGATACAGCAGACTAAGAGATCTGCTAATGCCAGCGAAAAGAGGAAATAGTTGGTGACATTATGCAGACGGCGATCTGTGCTAATTGCAATGCATACTAGGGCATTACCTGAATTGTTCAAGATGAGTCATATGTACGTTCAAGAAAGTAATGGGAGAGGGGTCTGAGAGTAGGCTTCAAAGTGAGAGGATTCCTATTTCTATCTTGGGCTAACATTTCAAAAAAGTTACCGATCAATCCTACTAAACAGAGAGCTGGTAATAGCAGAAGCGCTAAAACGTTAAGAGTATGTCTAGGATTGGTCATTTGAACACGTATCGAAGAAAATTGCCATTGTGTCATGTAGGCATGGGATGTTTGATAGAATGGAAGCAAAGAGGGGCAAGAGCGAGGCAAGTCCGACCAACGCCTAGAGCTGACTGGCAGCTCCGCCCCATTGGAAAACACGCCTCTTTGAAAAAAAGAAAAGAAAAGAGCAGTGTGTATGTATCACAGTGTGATTATTCCGAAAAAACATAATGGGAGAAATAAGAATGAAAATGACAAAATAGTTTTTCACTTTAGTTTTAATGCGGAATATATTTGGTTGGAAGATGTCAGCTGAAAGATGTTGAAAGACGACAGGGCATGCTGAACTGAGAGTATGCAGAAGAGAAAGTGAGAGTGTGAGAGAGACAGCAGGGGTTGTGAAAGTATTGTAACGGGTGTTTTAAAATGTTTTGAGGGTCAAGTTGACAGACATATTCACTTAACACTATCATTTCAGTGATCCTGAGATATGCTTATCTTACGTCGGTATGCTGGTAACGCATTTCAACAGCCATGTTCGATATGGAGCTGTTATGGCTTTGGGTATAGCTTGCGCTGGTTCTGGCTTCACGGTTAGTTAAAAGTTTTTCTGGAATTTTTGTTTTGTCCTCCAAAACAGTTGTTTTTGATAGTTCCTCCACACGGAGGGACGAGTTAAACCAGACTTGCATAAGCTTTGGACTTTGGTGGTTTCAACTGGAATTGAAATTTGAAACCTGCGTTTGTCTTATTAATTTCTGATTACTCACCCATTTTGGGAGTTTCGTAAGCATTTTAATGTCCTACTTTGGGCTCTTGAACCATATACCTCAGATGAGTTTGGCATTTCGTGAACTTTCCTTCAGCTATCTATCTTATTTCACCCCGAAGTCCTCAAATTTGAGTGTCTTATTGACGATAGAGATTGAGTACTTCACGCGGAATCCGCTTGAAGATAAACGAAATTAGTAGGGAGGAAAGAATGATAGCTATGAAAATCCTAAGATCTATCTCGAAATGCCGGGAAGTTGTAGAAATTTGTTTTTTCCCGTTATAATGTGCTATTCACAATGGTAGGTTTCCTGTTTTTTACAGGTTTTTCTCACCTTTCCCATCTGTTTTTCTTTCTTAAATAGAAAATACGAGATCATCTTAAGATTAATAATGCTGCAAAAAAGCCAAAAGCTTTTTTTTTCTCTTTTGGAACACTTTCCATTTCAGGAAGCCATAGCACTGCTGCAGCCTTTGATTTCAGCCAAAGAAAACTTTGTCAGACAAGGAGCCATCATTGCCTTGTCGTTCATCCTCGTTCAACAAACTGAAGCAACATGTCCAAAGGTACGTTTTATTTTCCTATTTTGTTGTTGTTGTTGATATATGCGTCGACTGCTGCCAATGCCGCTTCAATCCCTTCTCTTATACATGGCAGAATGTAAAGATCCATCAGATTATTTGTGAGGAGATTCTAGTCCTTCAGTCTTTTTTATAAGCTGTTGTTTCTGGAACTTACAGGCGGGATGATGCGAGAGCGGAAGTACGCTGGGTTCCATTAGATAATCAGACATTTTGGTAGTGCACCTAATTTTTTGATTGAACTTGGTGGTTCTTCCTTGACATTTTCTGATTGCTCCTCAAGCAATTAGTTTAAGAGTTTGGTTGCTCATATGGTTTGAAGAGAGGCGTTTGAAAGAGGGACTTAGAGATTTTCCCACATTATCGGGTAAGTTGGAAACGTCTAATCCATTCAAGTACAAATATTTGATGAATTTGTACCCTTGTATTGGTCTGCGGATATTGTGCGAAAAAATTTGATATGACACTTATAAACATTCTATTTGGCGAAGGACCCTAAGTATTTACTTGTCGACAATTGGTCTGATTTATCCCTGTAGACAGCCTTGGAATGGCTAAAGAGTGGTATTCATTCTTGAAGTCGCGCTGTTCTTCTTTTTTTTGCTTTTACTTAGATTTCAACTATATTATTCTTCACATTTGTTTGTTGGCACATTCACAGAGTTGTGTTTTGTGGGACTCTTTTGATACTCAACTTGACAAAACATCTTGACTTAGAAATAGGTTTTATGATGAAGCGCATTTAGCACATCCAGTAAACATCCACTTTCGGGAATAACCAAATCTTTTTAACTCTTGCAATAATTTGACCTGAGACAGGATATCTTCATAACCGGCGCTTGTATGGAACTTTTCTTATCCATTTTTTCGGTGATGCTTGGCTCTCTTCCTTCATTACCCGTTCAATAGAAACATTACATCATCGCTATAAATAGATCCGTTGTCCACAGGAAGTCTGTTCTCGCTTTAAAAAGAAAGAAGCCTTAGAAGCGTGGTGTCAATCAGCTGTACATACATTTATAATTGCTTGAGATTCGCACATAAAAAATGAGTAATAAAAGAAATTCGTGTTAAACGGCTGCCTACTGAGAATTTCGCTAAAGTGATCTTCCTTACAGGTTTCCGAGTACAGAAAGGCAATCAACAAAATTATCACCGAAAAAGGAGAGGAAACACTTGCTAAGTTTGGTGCCTTCATCGCTCAGGTATACACTGGTTAAGATCCTATGATAGGATTCATTTCCAGGGAATTCTCGATGCTGGAGGAAGAAATCTTACAATTTCGCTCCACAACCGTACCGGACACCCCGATATGGGTGGTGTAGTTGGAATGCTGTGCTTCCAGCAATATTGGTACTGGCATTCAATGGTCGACTTCATCTCTCTGGCCACAAAGCCTACCTGCCTTATTGCTTTGAACAAAAATTTGGCTGTGAGTAATTAGAACACTTTAGAACAATTTTAGTGATTCTTCAGATGCCGAAAATGGAGTTCAAGTGCAACGCCAAAGCTTCCATGTTTGCTTATCCTCCTATTTTGGAATCAAAGAAAAAAGAGGAACAAGAAAAGGTAGTCTTCGAATATTGAATTTTCATTTTGGTTTTTGATTGTTAAGGTTGAAACTGCTGTTCTTTCCATTACCAACAAGAAGAAGCTTCAAAAAGCTGCCAAGGAAGGAGTGAGAGAAGCTGCTAGAGAAGCTGCTAAAGAAGCGGTCAAGGAAGAGAAAATGGATGTTGATCACCCTGAGGAAACCAAAGAAAAAAAAGATGATGATAAGTGAGTAACATTTGATCATTTTGCAAAATGATCACAAGAAACCACTCCTATCTTTGAACTAGGAAGTGAAAGATCATATGCATAACATTCGAAGAATATCCTATTTTTAACCTTTTGTCCCGAAATAGCGTTTTCATCGCTTATTCTAAGCAAAATTCATCGCACGCCCTCGCAACTTGCGCGTAATTCCAATAGGTCTCACAGAGGAGCATCATTCTAAATACTTGGCGATGCTGAATTCAGAATTTCAGGAAAACAGAAGTTGAACCTTCATTCCATAGCATTGAGAATCCATGCCGTGTGGTGCGTCTTCAATTGAAAACATTGTCAATGCCTGAAAATGCCAGGTTTGACAGTAACTTGTCAGTCGGTTGAACCACTATATTTCAGATACAAACCAGTAAAGGCAATTAACCAAGGTGGAATTATTCTGGTGAGAGACCGTAAACCGAATGAAACTGAGGAGTTGGTCGCTCAGGTATATTTTCGATTCTTCTTGAACATGAATCATATGATGAAACGGAAATAACAATCGTTCTTCTTTAGGTTGTTGCTGGTGGAACGACGACAGACCCCGCTGCTCCCGAAAAGGAACCCCACTCTACTTTCGAAATCGATTTGAGCGAGTACTAATTTATTGTTTTTTTACGGTGTCTCATAATAAGCACGGTTCAATCTGTCGTTGTTCTTAATTTTATTTCTCTCACCAATGAAAAGAATATACTCGTATGTAAAGCTGTCCATAGTGTCAGACATATTTATTTTCCGAATGAACAGTCAGTCCATTGGTGTTGGCGTTATTAGTCTAATACACATTAAAGAAATGAAAGAAAGGCATAGTGGAAAGATTTAGTACATTCGACATATTTTCAAAGTTCCATTATGATGGACAAGATGTTTTCCATATTATCACTAGATCCCAGTAGCTTCATATTCTCAACTTGACGTAGTGGTTGGAATGGATCTATTCAGCTCAACACAAACACATTGAAAATCTACTTCATTAGTGAAAGTTGATGTCATCATATGAAAAAAACAAAAACCTTCAAAAGTTAATCCGAACTCTCTGAAAGTAATATTCGCGCACACAGTTCAGGAGGCGGGATCATAATAGCAAATTATCGGAGATAAGAGTTATTTGTTTGTTCTTGTTTCGTAGCCGTTTGTTTCAAAATATACTAGTCTTATATTATATTTATAACATAAAATATACTAATATTATTATTACAGGATGTTTTCGAGAGGAGCTCTGAGAATTAGGGTGCTGAACATCAGGGATATCGCCGTCATCTCCCATGAGAAGCGCTTTTAAAAAGTATCTATGGCTAATGCCCGATTCTTTGGTGTGTTCCGGAGGTTTTGCGAAATAGATTTGCTTGTTCTTCAAATTAGTTATGATGTTCTCATACGCATCTTCTCGGTCATTACAACGATCTTCGAGGAAGATTCTATTAGTTCTGCGTCATGGGACTCTTTCTTGATGTTTTTTTCACAAGTCAGATCTGTGACAGCAAGAAGCTATATTTTATCCGCAGTATGGGCTATGCTAGAAAAAGTCAATCTTGACTTTGGCACTAACACCTGTTTATAAGAAAGCGTGGGGCTGACTAAAAATGAGAAATACATATCTTGTTCTCAAAGTCTTCAATCCACTTTTGTAGAAGGGAATGAAAAATAAATGTCTGTTTGATTGGTAGTTCGAGCATGTTGTTATCGCGAGAATTGAGCACGTCTCATGTCAAAGTAATGTTTATAAACTTATTTGTAAACGTAATACTTTAAGTCATTGTCCTGTCATCTTACATGAGGATGTACATACATTTATAATTGAGGCTTACTTTTAGCTCAGTTTCGACACGACTTTTACCCATTTATATCAAACTTCTTTCTTTTCCAGGAAGTGTATGTTATTTGCCGTATTGCTTCCTTATTTGATTTTCCTTAAAAAGTTTTTGCTTTGTTCCTTTCTGCCAGTTTTTTGTATGTTCTTTCTTCTTCACATTATCCATGCCAATGCGGGAAAAAGAACTTATTATTTACGCGCAAAGAAAATATCTTTGTCTATTTTTTTTTACTAACTGTGAAGAATTCTCTGAGGATTCATTCGTTCTGAGACTTCATTTTTCTGAATTTGGTTTTTTTTTGTCACCAATTGAACTGAGCTTCATCAAGAAAGGCACTCTGACAAATTCATCTGGTATAGTCAGGCATGGGTGGGGGGGCTGACAAAGAAAAAACTTGATGGAAAACGAAATACCTCAGCCATAAAAAGCTCTTCTGCTATGTCGATATCCTCACTCATCCTAAGCAATTCGTATTCTGAACTCATTCCAGAATTGAACTTTCACGATGATAAATATAATTTGATACGGAAATACTATACATGCTCTTGCATATCTGTTATGCTCTAGTGATCAGTTGTTTTGTCGGACTTTCTTTTCCTGACACACAAGAACTCTGAATCGGAATGTACCAGAAGACACCAAATGTTAAAGAAACTATACGATATGCTATTACCGTTGTTATCATATATTAATAATATGACCAAGTATTATAGTCAAACAAAAGTTTTTTTTTCTGAAGCAGGAATGACATCATTCATAGTTATTGCTCGAACGAACAGTTTGGTGCAAAGTGAAATTGGTGTTTTAGTTTTATTAAGTTGTCTTCGATATGAACATCTATGGAGAGATCTAAAGTTCTTTTTTTAAATTCACGTGATGAAAAAGTAAAACCCGTTTTCAGCTGGGAAGCCTATTATCTTACAATTTGTGATATGATATATAGTTTAGGTTCTGACTTCGAGCCAGAGACCAGTAGTGAACTGTCATTAGCGTCTGGTTCGTGTCAGTGTGATGGAAGTGAGGGAAGGACAATGAATATTATGAATTGCTTCGGGGGATGGTTGGCTTCTCATGCCACTGCCCTTGTAATTTTTCAAAATATAAGTCACGAGCTTCATCGACAGTAACGATGTCCACGTTGTGATGACTTGTTTCCGGCAGGAAGCGATCTATTCGTGTGAGACGGAAGAAAGATCTGGATTAAGAAGAATGAATAAACTACAAAATGCTTGTTACCCACCTCTTAATATGGACAGAAAACATTGGCAATAGAACAATCATCATAATTGTCAAGATTGGCATGAGAGTTATCTGAAATGAAGGGAATAGAAAATAAATGAGAATGAGTTCAAACCTGAAATTCCGAGTAAGGTGCGTAGTCTTCAATCTGTCTCAAAACATTTGACGTGATGACGGTTTCCATCGTGATCATAGGCAAAGACAGCTTATAAACCTGAGAGACAACGGGTATTTTACGTCGTTTCACCAATTTTATGACTCACAATTTCGGCGGAGGTTGTCATTATGAGGAAAATAATCATTATAGGGATCATCAGCCTTGTGGTGCTTATATTCTCCTTTAATTGATATCTCGTTGAAAGAACTCTAAGCTGGGAATCAACCAGAGTTTTCTGAAAACAAGGAAAACGTATTCATAGATCTCTTTAGTGTTCCGAAAAATGTTTATCTGACGCTCTTCACAATTCATGAATGCTTTTGCTTCGGGGGGCTTACTATCAAGCTGTTAGAATGATAGAATGATCTCATTAGTATTGAGACAAATAGTTTTTCATTTTATTACATAATACCACAATTGGAGAAGAAGAGAAACAGTGAGAGTACTTGCTTCTCTCTATCCTTCAGCTCTCGTTTTCTGGTTGCTTCTGTTGTTGCTGATGAAATAGGGGGGAGATTTACGATTTCCATCTATCGAGATTTGATTCAGCAAATGGTTTGATGGGAGTTTTTTTGGGGTAGAAAGAAGCTGAAGTGAAAGAGGCAATAACGGAAGTTGTTTCTCAAGAAAATGAAAATCATTAAGCTTTTCGACTTAAAAAACAGTTTTCACTACGGCACAATGAATTATTTTCAGCAGCTTTCACGTATTCGTCAGAAGTTTTTCTCTTGCTTACTCTCCTTCCTTCATTCATAGCTGTGACGATCCCCTAGTTCGCAATACAGAGCATTAGAATAAAAAAAAGATATCTACATAAACAATAAATAAGATAAAATTAATTTATATTTTTTTTTTCGAATTTTTTGTTCTCACTGATCTTCTCCTTTCACTTCCTTGCAATCTTAGACCAACCGCTCAATGCTCAACAACAACAAGAAAATACAAAGCCCTCATCACGTAATAGCATTTGAATGGTTTCACGAAAAATTATGCTAATGAGCTCACCGTCCGGCATCTGTTTATGAGCCACAAGATACCAAACACGAAGAGAGCAGCTATGTTAATTCCTTCCAAGAAATGGCCTGTCATCATCGTATCAGGACCGTTATTCTGAATCATCTCAAGACAATCAGAATTTTGAGTTGTGTATTCATACCAATTCAAAAGAACAATATGGCAAAGTTCGTGGCATTTCTAATGAAAAATATATTAAGATACCACTAGCAGCCTATAGAAGGAAAACGGTTAGAACAGGACAGCTTGAGATGCCTTGATAGCAGCTTTACCTGGATACAGATAAGAACAACACCAAACCATGCGTGAGCTATCTTTTCATATGATTTGAATAATATAGTTGCGACTGCTCTTTCAATGGCCAACAGTATAGTTGAAACAGCTAAACCCATTCCTCCAATTACATAAACAGCTCGTAATCCTGAAAACAACAAAAAAGTAAAATTGAAATGAGAAAAATGCAACAAACGATAGCAGGCTGTTGGAGTGAAAACTTGAAAATCACATCGTGCGTCTTCAGGAATGACGAAAGAAACAACAATAGTATAAAGAGCTTCAATTAAGACACCTGTATATGATGTGTGATGTAAGACGCCTTCAGGAAATATATGTACTTACCTATATTACATATAATCATTGATATAGTTATTCCCAGTAGCAATAAGCGAGCATTGACATGAAGTAACTTTGTATATACAATGGCAATACTTAATAAGCTTATTCCCAATATACATACAGGTTCTACTATAACTCGTAATAATAATGTAAAATGAATGAATGAGCCAGGAGCATAGATGGATGCGGCAGATCCACATAACTCACAACGAGTACAATTAATACTCATAAATGAACGTTGCGTATGTGTTTCTTGACTAGATTGGACTGAAATATAATTCTTTCATCTTTAACATATTCGTTATCTTTAACCAATCATTATATGAATATAGACTAAGAGGAACTAAAAGATGGAGAGCAGAGAGAGGGTGGATAGCCAGCTGATTGAGGGAGTAAGAGAATGAATAGAAGAAGAGTGGTAGTGTTGATGATGATGATGACGTCCAAAAGAGGTAAGTATAAGAAGGCCTATTAACGAAAGATGCTGATAGAAGGAAGTTAAGACGATGAAATACAACCACAAATAACACTGAAGTCAATGAGAAAATGATTGTTTTTTATCAACATTTGAGACAAAATTCAATGATTTGTTTGACGAAAAAAAACTGAAAATCCTATTGCATTAACGTTCTATGTTCTCAAATCACTTATAGAATACTACTTTGAAAATATAAAAAAGTGACAGAAGAAGGCGAATGAGAAAATTTAAATAAAAATTATAAATGATGAGAAAGGAAGAGGTAGATAGATAGGATGAGAATAAGAGAGAGAGAGAGAGATAGTGAGAGAGAGGAAGAATATGAAATATGAGAGAATACATCAGCCCAATAGCTTTGATGACCGAAAATTGAAAATAAACAGAAGAAAAAAGGATTTTTTATATTCGACTCTCTTTGTTTAGATGTATAAGTGCAATGATCTTTTCATCTTCTTTGGTTTATTTTTGATATCTTACTACATGCATAGATGAGATGAAGCAGAGATGAGCATGGAATGCAATGAGATGAAGAGGCAGTGTATGTGTGTGTGTGTGGGTCTTCTGTGAATTGTAGTCGAAAATAGCCAACAGTTTGCCTATTATTAAAGGAAGAAGAAGATAATGATAAAAACAGAAAATGAAACTATTGTAATTTGAGAGGACAGGAAACAGAAACGATTTGTCGTCGCTAATACTGAAATGAAATAGGAAAAAGAGTTTTTTGATGGCAGCATAATGAGATGCGCTTTTGAATAAACTTCAATGATGGAATGTACTTAGGTTGAAGCAGAAATTATAATATTTAATATTATATTTGTTATAAAGAAAACAAAAACACAAGTCTATTGAATGAGAATCATCATTGCTGCTGCTGCTGCTCTCATAGATCTTATTAAGCATTCGTTCTAGTTGAAAAAGCTTGTTCTGTTTATTATTCATCTTTAGTTAAAAGAAAGAAAAGATAGAGAGAGAAATCTACTCTCATACATATCACATACAGAGGAAGAAATATAGAGAGAGAGAGAGTCATAGAGAGAGTAAAAGAAAGAAAAATATTAAAAAAATGAAGAGAGGAAAAAAAGAGAATGTAAGATTGAGAGAAAGTTGAGGGATTCGGAAGAAGATCTGGAATGCAACCGCCTGTGACGTACACGTAAAGCACAATGAACTGCTGACTAAATGTCATGTCACGTAGGCCTGATTAGCATACGAGAGCTTTTCTCAAAAACATGCAAAATAAAAGATTTTTTTTTCTTTTTTTCTTCCTTTTCACGTCTCATCATCCGAATCAATCAATAATTGAATGTTCCAATACAGAAACAAAATGTTGTTTTTATGCATCAAAATACATTTTTGGAAATACTAACATGAAGTTGTGTGTGTCTACGTATGTGTGTGTGTCTGTGTGAGAACGAGAAGAGGTGAAACAAAAAAAATGTTTGAAAAATCAGAATATGAAAAGCTGAAGGTTAAAGGTGAAGTCCATAAAATAAACATTTTCTTACGCATCTATGAAAATGTTGAAAAATGGAAGGAGTATGAATAAGAGAGAATAGAAGGAAGTGAGGGGGGGGGTGCCTTTACAAAGAATGAATGTCTGTTTCAAGCAAACTTCAGACATTTTGTCTTAGCGGGAAGTGGTCCAGACAAATTTTCATTCGAAATTGCTGAATTCCAAGAATTTTCATTTTTTTAGGGAAAAAACGGTACAAAAATGATTTTTGAGAGAATTCTTAGGTTGCAACGATGAAGAAAATATGTGTGAGAGTATGCATGTGTGTATGTATGTGTGTGAGTATGTGTGTGTATATGTGTTCGCATAGAAAGCTGAATATGATGCAGATGGGAAAGCTTTAAAATATGATTGGATGGAATAAGAAGACTTTAAACAAGTAGTTTTTGGGTAGTGGAAGAGGGTGGGGGGGATAACATGAGATGCAGCTGATGATATTCAAAAGATAAGAAAAGATACGATGAAGAAGAACGAGAAATCCTTTGGTCAATGATGGAAATGAAAATAAGATCGATTGAAGGAAAGGTTGATTAGTCACTTCTGGTTTTGGGGTTGGAGTGGATGGGTAAGAAAGTTGATTTAAAAATGTTTTAAACTTTTGATTTTGAGCAAGAAAAAACGAAATGAAGTATATCATAAGATAGAATTGTAGAGAGAGAGAGAGCAGGAAGGTAAATTATAAAAGAGAGAGAGAGAGAGATGAAGAAACTATAAGAAGAAGAGAGATTGCTTACGTATACAGAGAGAGAGAGAAAGAGGAAGTGAGAGAGAAAGAGAACAAGGAAAGGAAAGTTTAAGGAGAAGCTGAATGAGATATAATTTTTCAAAAAAGAAAATATAAATGATTTCATTTATGCTATTCATAATTATGGCGTTTGCATATAGGCGGAACAAAATTATTTTCAATAAAATTAAATAAAAATAAAAAGAAAACGATGCCAAGAGTTTCGAGCTTGATTCTATGAGTGAACGATGATGTAAGGAGCAGCATTGATCATGATCAAGTAAAGCAATTAGTGACTGAGAACTTACGAAGCTGATCATCGAACGATATCATCATATGACATTAAAACATTGATGGAACGTCTTCAGAATGTTGCGGAGGAACGTTAGAGGACGATCGACAACAGAACACTATTAATTTGTCTTTCTCTCTCTTCGTCTTCTCTCTATTCCTTTCTCTCTCTCTCCCTCTATTGACCACTCCCTTTTAAACTAATTCAAATTAATTCCATATTAAATCGTTATGAGCTTCTACTTTTCTCATTTAATTCTTAATGAAAAACTGAAAGATGATGAGAAGGAAGAGAGAAAAAAATAAATTTTTAATTGACATGTCCAAGGATGAGTAACAGTGAAAAGAAAAAAAAATTGAATTTTTCCCTCTCAAATCGTCATAAATGCATCAAAACGCCTCAGGCTATGTTTCATGTCTTGGCAATGAGAATGATCAAAAACCAATTTGAATGTCCTTTTAACGCATTTTCCCAGTACATATACTTCTTTGCAATATATTAATTACACGTGGTGGACAGACGACGACGAGTTATTCCAAATAGCATCTCTGCCTACGTGAATCTCATTTCATTGTTCGTTTCGCAGCAGCATTTGCTCATGAGTTGTTTATAGATAGCAAACTTGAAATTAACGAAATTATTCATAAAATGCCATTGAGGCTGTGTGTTGCTAGTCATTCGCGCTAAATACTAGAATGGAACTGCTCATAAGCACTCTCTGTAGTCTACGAAAAATCCTTTTTTGGTTTCTTTCGTCTCTCTCTATACGACTTGGACTGAAAGTCATCGTCATTATGTGTCTCCTATTGGCAGCGTGATTATTTAAAAAACTTTTCTTCCTCTTCGCTCGCAACATTCAAATATTGAATCTTTTGATGTCTAATTATTATAAAAATGAATAATAATTATATGAGCTTTCTTCCTTTACATAAACAGAATAAAATTTTTTATTTTCTCTTCACAATAATCGAATCGAATATACAATCTATTGACATATATAGCTTTAGAGGGAATGATTATTCTTAGAGAGAAGAAAAAAATCAAAGAGAGAGAGAGAGAGGGAGAGAGAGAGAGGAGCAGAGGGTTCAAATAGAGGGAGACAGATGAACAGAGAATTGATAAACTACAATGACGCCAAGATATTACCCGCTGATACTCTGGAGAAAAGTTTGAGCTGACAAAGCAGATGCCCTGATCACTAATTCCTTAACTATTATATTTTATATGTAATATTCTAACATAAAAGACGTCATCGTAGGATACCGGGTGAGATAGGAATACAATTCAAATGAAAAAATGAAAATAGATTTTCTTCCAGAAAAAAAAAATAAATTTTTAAAAATATGTTTCAAATAGAGAAAAAAAATAAATTTTGAAAATAAAAATGAAACAAAAAACGATCACATCACTTGAAACCGTAAGAAGTATGGAAGATCATCGTAGTTAAGAAAGTTGAAAAAAAAAGAGGAAAAAATATATTTTTTCATAGAATTTGACGTGAAATTAAAAGAATTAGAATACTTGTGACGTAAATGGAAAGACTTGATGATCCTCCTGGCGTTTCTGTTACTCCCATTTGATTTCTATTGTATGCAGGTGAGGTTGGTCCAGCTGAAACATATTCAATGAGATCAGCAATGTGATTGATTCAGGAAGTAAAAATGAAACATTTTGCTCACCAGATGTTAAAAAATTTGCTGGGCGAGCTGTTACAATCACGTCGACATCATCATCAATAGGCTCATCTCCAGAACCATTTCCGGAACCGGCAAAATCTTCATCGTCAAGCCATGGGCTAGCAGAGCCTTCCTCTGGCATCTGAAAAGAAAATGTAAATAGTCTGCTTGATCAATCTAATTGAAATAGGACATTAAGAAAGCACGTTCCCTCATCATTTTTATGCTCAAAATAAAAAAAAGTTCATTTGGAAACGTTGACGTAATGTTGCAGAGAGCAAAATATTTTTTTTTAATGAAAAAACTATTTTTGTCCACAACAGCCGATTTATCTTTCCCTCGGTGGATGAAATGAGATTCATATATTTTTCAAGTCCTTTTTTGGAGATCATTATGATCAACAGGTAGTGTGTGTTGAACGTTGATACTGCCGTCATGACATTTCAATGATCAAGACGATGATGAAGAAACAGAAGGAAACAGAACTTTTGCATTCTTTTCCCTTTTTTTTTCTCACTGCAGTTGGACATGGAAATTTAATTTTAA